CCGGTGCAGCTCCAGGACACGGCGCTCACATGAAGACCCTGTTCCTGAGCGCCGGCGTGTTGAAGGCCGTGGAGATGTGAAACCTAAAGACAAGACATTCTGTGACATTTTCCGCTGAAATGTTTCCCCCCAGAGGGATTTAAAGCAGCGGCGTTCCTAGGCAGATTTCAGGGGGCTAAAGCCCCCCTCAGTAATTTTAATGGCTGCTGTGCGTTTTTACGCACAGGAAGAGGGAGAACTGGATGAACCCAGACTGAAGATTAAACCAAGATACTGACTCAGAACGGTAAAAGTGTAAGTTAACCCATCCTGATGTGAGCTGGAGGTTTAATAAGAATCACTGGGATCATCATGAAGAACAGAGAGTAGATGAACTTCACCTGAGCTAGTAGCTCTGGATATGATGAAAAAATTTAATCTGGTCCTTAGTTCAGTTTAAATCAAACTATTTCTTCATAAAGTAGCTAAATGCATCACATGGTCCAGTCAGCCCAGCTATACATGAAGATAAAACCAATGTTGCTCAATAAACTGTGGAAGCCAGTAACACATTGGTGGAACATAACAGAATTAGGTGACTTTTTACGTGCCTGATGGGTCCCTGGTGATGCTATTTCATTAATGGAAGAGCAGAAGGTGATTAAAACAAGAGAGATAGTCTCTAAAACAGACATGGCTACAGCTTGATGCTAACATGTTTGTTAGCTGTCAGAATTCTGAGAAAAAAGTAAGAATCCTGAATTTTTTCCTCATTTTATACTGAAATAAATTTAAAAGTCAGTTAACTTTTTTTCCAGTGGCCCTAATCCTCTTCTTTAATAACATGGATGCATAAAAAGCTAATTTTATTTCAGTGTTAAATTCTGTTTAAAGTAATAGATTATAACTAAAAATGTCTCCGGACCTGTACTGGTTGATGATTTTCATTTATTCGGACCCCACTGGTTTTTAATTGGTTACCCCTGCAGTAAGGCATCTCTGCTAAATCTGTTCATTAGAAAAAGTAAAATAAATAAATTGGAAATTTAAGCCAAACGCTGCTTTTTTTTTTTTTACATCCTTTGCCCCTCCCCCCACCTTTAAAATCTAGAGAGGCCTCTGATTTAACCCTCTCCAGGCAGATGTTGCAGATTTGCAACAGCTAAATGCTACTTAGCTAATTACTCCACATCCATATTTTATTAGCTTTTGTTACTCAGAAGTACAACAGAAGGACTTAGTTGTGCATTTGAAACTAACAGTTTCTCTCCAGCTCAACACATGGCAATGCTGACTCACTTTCAACATGGCTGAGTCCTTGGTGTCACTGAAACTGATTTTCTAAGCACCAATTTCATGTAAGTATCACTACCAATTTCCATTATTTGAAATCAATACTACATAAGATGAATCATGAATGTGTATAGATATGAAACATGCCAATTAGTAGATTTTATCTTCTCTGGGTTTTTCCACCAGAGGCATCTCGGTTTTAATGTTGTGGATTCGCAACGTGTGCCCAAACAGGTACCAATGGATGCTATATGCTTTATCTACTAATTTGCCTATATTTTGAGCAACAGTTTAACAGAAACGGCCTTCTCAAGAGGTTTTGAGATGTCGGTGGAGAAAAAGTTTGAGAAAAAGTTGTCTCTAATTTTGTGAGAGAAATTTTTTTTTCAATTTTTTGTTTGTGACATTTAAATAAAGTTAACGTTCATGTCAGATTCAGTCTTCAGTGTTAATTTACCACTCCGGGCCACTGTTGCAAATCTGCAACATCCCAGAATTAATTGCATGTGAAGGTCTCTCAGAAAAAAAGTCTGAATTGTATATTACTACCCCATATGATAATTTGCTCCAAATATCAGATTTTTCCTGCAACTAGAACTTAATTTGAGCCTGAGAGGGTTAAACCTGAAGCTCCATCAGCAGCGAAGATCTTTCAGCTTCATTCCATCATTGTTAACAGTGTTTATTGAGCAGAATCAATAAAGTTTATCGTAACTTACATGCTGGCTTGGTTCCGTCCAGTTTGCCTGGAAACCATCGAAAGCATGGCTCCTGGAGTTCTTCAGCAGCTCCTTGATGAGCAGCTCCTCCACGCGCCTCAGGAAGTCCACCAGACCAGGTGGATCAGCACCGTTAAGGTTTTCCAGCTGATGGTCCTGCTGCTGTGGTTCAGTCTGGGTGGAACTGGACACCCGGGACCCGGTCTGGACTCCTGCATGGCCGCTGCTCACAGCTGGAGTCTGACAGCTTTTCTGTAAACAAACCCAAGATCAGAACCACTAAGAGATAAACAGAACCAGCAAATACTCTGGACTTTTACCGACTGCTGCGCCCCCTGCTGGGATTTCCGCCACACTGACTCCACCCTCACGGACTCTAGAGTTTCATCAGAAAACATTTTTAATCTTCTGATTTAAAAAGACCATCGAACTAAGTTAGAACCAAGACAGACGTGCCTGAGCCCTGTCTGACGGTGCTGATGCGGCGGCCATTTTCAACGAAGCCAGCGTCACCATGGTGACCGTGTTGCCAGATCACGCGGCACAAAGAGAGAACAGAATCAAGAAAACAAATCAATGAATGAAGTTTATTTTGCGATAGAAAGATTTTATATTTTTCATTTTCTTATTTAGGATAAATAACTTTAGACTCTAACAAGAATAAAATTACTTAAATGTGAATTTTCAACAAAACAAGGCTGCAGAATATAGCGAAACATGGCAATTTTAAAGGAGAATTACGTCATTTCCGCTTTAGCTTAACAGCAAAGCTTGCATTTTTTTAACGGTTTAAATTAATTATTTAGTCTACATACAACAGATAACTGCCTCAGTCACTTAAACGTTCGAAAATGGAAATTAATTGCGTATCCTAGAGCTATTTTACTTTAACAGCCTGGTTGTGTCCGATGACGCCGCCATATTGGTCAGGGCACTTCCTCCGCTTTAAATGTAAATTAACTGCCAAAGGGGGGATATATTTTGAATAAAAAGCGGGTAACCTTCTTGAAAACTTAACCTTTTACATTTTAGTCAAATTGAAATTAAAAATTTTTAATAATTTAACATTTCATTTCTAAGTTGGAAAAAATTGTTTGTTAAGGTAATTTTGATACATATTTTGGATAATTTGCAGATGTTAGAATAAAGTCCTTTATAACCATTTAAAGAACCTTCAGATTTGGATTATCTGCGCAGCAAATCTTTCAATTTTTTTGACCATTTTTTACAAACCTTTGACCTAAAAAAAAAAATACAGTTAAAGACATATTTAAAAATGGAGACCAAAGGAATAAAAAGGTTGTAAAATATATTTTATTAAAACACGCAAACATTCCTGCATCCTTCCAAAACTCTTGAACAGGGACGGTGTTTCGAGGAGGTTCTATGGCACAGAAACTAGTTCCACTTCAGGAAACCTGCTGGTTCCAGGTCCAGACTGGTGCCATATGGGATTCACAACCATAAACTGGTTAGTGTCATTTGAACTTTTTGGTTAAAAAAAAAAAAAAAAACATGGAACAGTGTTGCTTTTTATTCTGTCACATTTTGCAGGTTTCGTAACCATTTCTAACATAGATTTTGAGTCAAAGATGGAGAATTCCCCAGAAAGCTCATTGGCATGTTTTACTCCTGGTTTCTGCATGGCTCAGGTCACCTGGATACATATTTTATAAAAAGCTGCTGTGCTTCTTAACCATCCAGATGTCCCTGATGAGTGACAAACAGATTCTGTCTGAACTTTGGACCTGAGCATCTCTGATCTACACTAAAACCTAAAAAAAAAAAAACACATCAAACTTCTTCATGAAGATAAACGTCTTTCACACGTTGCTGAAACCCAATGGATTCATGTCAGGAAACGGGTCCATGAGGATGTTTGCCAGAGCCTGATAAGCCAGAATAAAGGGCAAAAATAATTTTGGCGGCTGGCGGGTGGGGCTAGTTTACTAGGCTACCTTTAAGCATCTGCTGCTCTGATGGATCCGGACACTTTAGAAGAACTAGATGGAAGCTTGGTTAAATGAGACTTTTACAGTTCAAAAAAAAAAAATCCAGCTGTCATAAAGTTGTGCTTTACCTTTTCCCCCCCTATCAGCTTATAACCTGCTTCCCTGATGGAACCCTTGTAAGTATTCACACCTCTTTTATCACATTCCAATAAACGTCAGTGAATTATTGGGATTATTATAAAGAGACAGAGATAATTTATTCTATCTTTAGACATATGAAGTGTTGTATATGTTTGCATCCACTACTCTGATACCCCTAAATAAACTCCATCTGCAGCAGCAAGAAGAAAGCCACTGATGTGGCAGATCGCCACGCTGCAGATCACAAACACAGAATTCCCTTAAAGGAACATGGTGGTGGCAGCAGTATGCTGTGTTTTTTTTTTTTTTTTTAAGCAGGAGGGGAGAAGCTGGTGTAAATTGGACGGCTCTAAACCCTGGCCCGTTGTCCTTAATCTTTTAAATGTCTTCCTGAATACATCGTCAGGCCCTTGAGGGTAGGGTGGAGGTTCACTTTCCAGCAGGATACCCAGCCTTACCATTTAGCCAGAGATACAGAGAATGCTTAGATGAAAGCACATCTACAGGGCAGAGTGGCCTAGTTAAAGTCTAGACCTAAACTTGGAAATATGAGACATTTTTTTGAGGAATAACTGGAAAAATACTTGTTTCCATTTAATTAGAAACCTCCTTTGTAAACATGCTACATTAAGAACTCCTCCAGTGGCAGTTTTAGCTTCACCTGGTTCTGAAAAATATGTTTTGTTTTTTTTAACAAGAATCCTAATGTCAATCCATCCATAGATTAATCAATTAGCTAAGTAGTCGTTAATCCGCATCCTTGAGCGACTCCAAAACAGCCAATAAAACAACTTAAAGTTTGTCAGAATGTGACACAGAAGGTGTGGGTTCTAGTAATACTCTGGGTTTTTCCAAGCAGCCAGAATTTCTCAGAACTTTTAAAGATGTTAGAAGTTCTCTCTTTTTCTCCTCTTAGTTTCGGTCCAGTTCTAACAGCTGATGGTTCAGATGAAAAGTCAAAGAACGAGGATCCTGCGAGGCGCCGCGGTTGTTTTGCAGATAAATATGGTTTATTATGGGAGCTCTGCGTCAGTTTATGGGTTCAGCCAGTCTCATCCATGGACCGGTCCTGGCTGCACAGAACCAAATATGGGTTCTAAAGCAGAGATTTTATGGATTGTGTGTCACAACATTCAGAACCGTCTGTTGTTCTCCTCTGTGGTAAAAAGAAACACTTTTTTTTCTCTTTTTTTCCAAATCAGAGCAGAAATAATAGCAAACATCAGTCAGACGTTAACGCAGCTTCACTTTCCTCCTTCAATGAACAGGAAGGTCATCATCATCATCATCATGGGTTTAGAGTCTGAGGAGAACTAAACAACCTGATCCTGGATCAATGGCAACTAGAACCTGTCGCCGCCTCCTTCATGGCGGCCAGGAAACCCAGAACTTCCCTTTGGTTCGATCTGACGCCCCCCCCCGCTATGACCCGTCTCAGTTTTCCAGGAGGACCGTCCTGAGCTGGTCCTCCTCGCTCATGCTGACCGTGGCGATGGCGCCGTCGTTGAACTCGAAGGAGGTGCCGCCGTCCACCACCATGCAGGCGTCCCAGCAGCGAGAGCGAACGCACACCCTGCAGAAGAAGACAGAAGACTTCCTTATATGGTCAACAAGCTTCCTGATTTTCCTTCATGCTTTAAGTTCTATATTAAAAAATTCTAAATTGTGGAAATAAACCCTTTTCTTGTCTGCATAGGAACCAGAAAGTTCTGGAGGACATCAGCTATTCTGTCCGGTCCGAACTAACATCCAGAACCACATCGAATGCGAAGTACTGACTTGTTGGCGAAGCCTCTCTGGCGGCTGCTGGTGAACACTCTGTTGCTGATGGGTTCCCTGACGCTGTAGAACAGGCGCCGCTCTTCAGGACTGAACACCAGCGACTCGTTGTACTCGTCGGTTACTGGTCAAACACACAGAGGACGGGTCGTCAGAACCGGGTCCTAACTCCCCACAGCCCGGGCTGGATCTGGAACTCACCTCTTTCTATGAACTCCCGGCTGAGCGGGAGTTTAACTCCGGCCCGATTCGCTCCTGCAGAACATGAACACCGGCCTGATTCAGCAGGACTTTCAGAACCAAATCAGACTTCTTTTAGAACCTGGGCTGACGTACGTACCTATTTTCAGAACCTCCTCCACAGACTGCTCAGCCAGCTTGTTGATGTTGTAGGACCTGCGGACAGAAACATGGTTCTGATCAGCACTGATCCCAGACTAGAACAAACCAGAGATCCCAGAACATCCAGAACCTCCTCAATGACTGAACCAAATTCCAAAGCCACTTTCACCTCCTTCAGAACCTCTTGTACAGAATATGAACCTGAACCGTTCTGATAGGTTCTAGTTCTTCACTGGAGCTGTTTGTGTTTTCACAAAGACAAACTATGGTTCTGGTCCAGCTGATCACCAGGTTGATGAAAACTCTGGAGTTTAGTTTTGGATCATGGCGCTAAAACCCAAATTCATCTGTTAGACATTAAGGTCCAAATCGTTTCCAGGGCTTTGATCCAAACAGAAGGGAACCAGGAACCAGATAAAACACTTTTTAAAGATCCAAACTGAAGAGTTTGGTTCAGAAGAACTTTAATAAAAAGCTGAAAAATGATGCATTAAAATAGAAACCAGAACCAGAGGTTTCTGGATCCATTAGAGGTCCTGATGAGGTTTGTTCACTGAAGGAATTTGCTCCTTTTCTTAATTCATACCGAAAGGCGCCGTCGCACCCCGCCATTTTAGCCAGCGTATGCCCGACATCCCGGAATCTTCTAAGGCCACATTTACACAGTCGGGTATTTAGAGAAACTAATACAGGTGCTGGTCATAAAATTAGAATATCATGAAAAAGTAGATTGATTTCAGTAATTCCATTTAAAAAGTGAAACTTGTATATTATATTCATACATTACATACAAACTCATATATTTCAGATGTTTATTTTGTTTAATTTTGATGATTACAAATGACAACAAATGAAAATCTCAAATTCATCATATCAGAAAATTAGAATATTGTGAAAAGGTTCAAAATTGATGGCCCCTGGTGCCACACTCTAATCAGCTAATTAACTCAAACCACCTGCAAAAGCCTTTAAATGGTCTTTCAGTCTAGTTCTATAGGCTACACAATCATGGGGAAGACTGCTGACTTGACAGTTGTCCAAAAGACGACCATCGACACCTTGCACAAGGAGGGCAAGACACAAAAGGTCATCGCTAAAGAGGCTGGCTGTTCACAGAGCTCAGTGTCCAAGCACATTAATAGAGAGGCGAAGGGAAGGAAAAGATGTGGTCGAAAAAAGTGTACAAGCAAGAGAGATAACCGCACCCTGGAGAGGATTGTGAAACAAAACCCATTCAAAAATGTGGGGGAGATTCACAAAGAGTGGACTGCAGCTGGAGTGAGTGCTTCAAGAACCACCACACACAGACGTATGAAAGACATGGGTTTCTGCTGTCGCATTCCTTGTGTCAAGCCACTCTTGAACCACAGACAGCGTCAGAAGCGTCTTGCCTGGGCTAAAGAGAAACAGGACTGGACTGCTGGTGAGTGGTCCAAAGTCATGTTCTCTGATGAAAGTAATTTTGCATTTCCTTTGGAAATCAAGGTCCCAGAGTCTGGAGGAAAAGAAGAGAGGCACTTCATCCACGTTGCTTGAAGTCCAGTGTAAAGTTTCCACAGTCAGTGATGGTTTGGGGTGCCATGTCATCTGCTGGTGTTGGTCCATTGTGTTTTCTGAGGTCCAGGGTCAACGCAGCCACATACCAGGAAGTTTTAGAGCACTTCATGCTTCCTGCAGCTGACCAACTTTTTGGAGATGCAGATTTCATTTTCCAACAGGACTTGGCACCTGCACACAGTGCCAAAGCTACCAGTACCTGGTTGAAGGACCATGGTATCCCTGTTCTTAATTGGCCAGCAAACTCTCCTGACCTTAACCCCATAGAAAATCTATGGGGTATTGTGAAGAAGAAGATGCAATACACCAGACCCAACAATTCAGAAGAGCTAAAAGCCACTATTAGAGCAACCTGGGCTATCATAACACCTGAGCAGTGCCACAGACTGATCGACTCCATGCCACGCCGCATTGCTGCAGTAATACAGGCCAAAGGAGGCCCAACTAAATACTGAGTGCTGTACATGCTCATACTTTTCATGTTCATACTTTTCAGTTGGCCAACATTTCTATAAATCCTTTGTTTTTATTGGTCTTCAGTAATATTCTAATTTTCTGATATGATGAATTTGAGATTTTCATTTGTTGTCATTTTTAATCATCAAAATTAAACAAAATAAACATCTGAAATATATGAGTTTGTATGTAATGTATGAATATAATATACAAGTTTCACCTTTTAAATGGAATTACTGAAATCAATCTACTTTTTCATGATATTCTAATTTTATGACCAGCACCTGTACGTTATCAAAAATCTCCACTTTGGCCGGAGGTTTTAGAAATAATCATTTTCTGTGATAAAAATTAGGTTTTGGTGTAAATGTGAAGCTAAACCGCAGGTAAATTTCTGCATTTTCCCTTCATGTAAACGGGGTCTAAAACGCTGGTATACGCTGAACTTTCTATGTATTTTTTTTTTCATTTTTGGCGAATACATAGAGTATTCATAATAAGTCCAGAACTGATGTCCAACGACAGCCTAACTTATGCATAAGGCACGCTGGCGTAATGCCCATGAAATGGCAGCCAGTGTCCTGAGGGGGGCAGCAATGCTCCCGGAGGCGTCCGGTCTGCAAGAAAACATTTTATTTGATCGCTGTATTAACCTAGCTAAATTTTTTTTTTTTTTATACCAAAACGCTGCCAGTACGCCATTAAACAGTAGCTGGAAGTTAAAAACACGTTCAGCACTCGTCTGGAACACGTCAGATATGTTGATATGGGGTGGAGAGAAGTTATTGATTAGTTCTGCAGAAGTTTTGCACAAGTTACTCAGAGGTTTTGGATAAGCTGGACACCATAACTTTGAGTAACGTAAACTTAACATATGTCAACGATCAGATACCTTACCTGTAACTTATGTCCCATGTTTGGCATACTCTTTACATTTTAATACCAATTAAGGCCTTAGTTTTATTTTGAAGAATTCAATGCCTTTTAAGACTTTTTAAAGGACCCCCGGGAACCTTATAATTAAAGGAATAGTACACCCAAAACATGATTAGCCTTCATTTTCTAATCACCCCCATGCTGAACAACACTCTGGAGTACTTTTTTGATATCTCAAATGCATCTGGAGATCTGGGAGGCTTCTTGCTGTCTGCGGACATTCAAATAATGGAGGTCTATGGCGCCCGAGACAGAAAGGTCCATAAAAGTCCACAAAAAACGTGTCAATATTCCTCCATACTGCTCGTCCAATGTATTCCAAGTGTCCTGAGTGGGTAGCGTCCAGAATTTACAAGAAAAGAAGTAATTTAGAATGTTTTTAGAGCATAAACAGTAGTGTATAGGATTTCCTAAAAGCGCGTTCACGACGCTACGGAAACCGCGGCAGACCAAACCAGATGAAAGTGCGCATTCAGCTCGGCAAAGAACTCATGCTCTTCCTCAACACTGAAGTCCTCAGACATTTTTCTTTCGTTGTTTCTTTCTTTGCACAGGTAAACAGCATATTTCTTCTTCTACGCTTGCATTATCGGCAGAGCAGACGCTGAATGCGCACTTTCATCTGGTTTGGTCTGCCGCGGTTTCCGTAGCGTCGTGAGCGCGCTTTTAGGAAATCCTATACACTACTGTTTATGCTCTAAAAACATTCTAAATTACTTCTTTTCTTGTAAATTCTGGACGCTACCCACTCAGGACACTTGGAATACATTGGACGAGCAGTATGGAGGAATATTGACACGTTTTTTGTGGACTTTTATGGACCTTTCTGCCTCGGGCGCCATAGACCTCCATTATTTGAATGTCAGCAGACAGCAAGAAGCCCCCCAGATCTCCAGATGCATTTGAGATATCAAAAAAGTACTCCAGAGTGTTGTTCAGCATGGGGGTGAGTAGAAAATGAAGGCTGATCATGTTTTGGGTGTACTATTCCTTTAAGTGAATGTGTTTTTTAAAGGGTCCCAGGCTGAGATGTTTGGGACCCCTGCAGCCTCAGGTCAAACCCCGCCCTGCTTACCAGGCTTTGGACCCTGTTCCGGTACAGATGCTGAGTCCTGAGCTCTTCTGTTTCTCCCATGGACCGTCGTCCACAGAGATCTCATAGTAGGAGGCCCTATGGAGCAAGAGTTTAACATGTGGTTTGAAGGGTTTTAACTTCGCCCTGTGGTGGACAGAGAGTTCTGGGTGAGTCTGAGGAGCCGTGCGAGGCGCAGAGGATTAACGCCGGGTTCAGCACGCACGCACACGCACACCGGCAGTGGAGCATGCTGCATGCTGGGAGACTTACCTGGACGACAGAGACTCCCCGATGAAGATTTCATTCAGGCTCCTGACAGGAAGCAGGCTGGACTTGGAGTAGGTCTGCTGTAAGGTTCCGCTTCCTGGAACCAAACATGGAGAATTACTCCCACCCAGAACCAACCCTTAAAACCCTGTTTTCTGTCTGATTTATTTCCTTTTTTGGGACTTTTCTCTGCTCTGACCTCAGAACTGGATCAAATAATAATAACTGAACTTTATTGGTCTCTCACTGGAGAAATTCACCTCTGCATTTTACCCCTCCCCTTTGGGGAATAGTGAGCTTCCATCTTGTGGCGCCGCAGGGAGCAGATGCTCAGAGTCCCAGAGTGGCAGTCGTTGGGAGGGGCTTGAATTCAGAACCTCTGGATTCCAAGCTCTATGATAGGCAACCGCTCCCATAAGTGGGTCACTGTGACTCACTGCTGATAATGATCCGATTTTAATCGTTCATGATTGAAAATGTGAGTTTTTGAGATTTCCACAAAACTTAAACAATCCACTGGACAATGTTTCCAAGTTTGAAGACGTTTCTCTTCCCTTCGGGGAAGTTTTTTTTAAATTCAAAATGTCAGAAATAGTGTTGAGTTTGAAGCTTTATAGAGTGGATCAACAACAAGCCTTGTTTAGTCTTAGAAAACATGCAAATTGAACTGCGAGAACGGGTTCCCCACTTTGGAATGAGGGTCGTTTTGTTTCTTTGTTAGCCTGAAATAAACGATACCCGTCTATGTCTCTGAAAGCCTCTGTAAAGCCTTGAACTCAACGCTATTTCTGACATTTTAAATTGAAAAAGCTTCCTGGATGGGAAGCAAAATGAAATAAAGTCCAGTGGATTGTTTGATTTTTACTATTTTTGGAATGACTATGACCTGGATGACCTACAATCTTCACCAGTTTATTTGAAGGAGAATCTAAAGTAAATGAGGTGATGGGGGGGCATGCAGGCGACCCGACGGACCCGTACTGTTCTGGTGGTCCATGGTGGTGATCCGGTGAGCCTGGTTGTGTTGCTCCAGGCTCAGCTGCTGCTCGTGCAGGTCCACCGGGGTCGGGTTTATTCCGGTTCCCTCCAGATGCAGACGGATCCTCTGGCGCCACAGCCACCTGAGCAGAACATGGGAAACCGGAGCGGTTGGGTTAATGACATCACGGCCTGAGGAAGAACCACTGACTTCGCAGGACCTGGAAGCTCATGTTCATCTGCACCACGTTCAGCTTCGGATCAGAACCAGAGAAATTAACCAAGAAAGGAGGTGGTTTCGGGGAACAAGTTCAGTTACAGAACCTGACAGCGGACTCTGTGGACATCTGGACCTCTCATCCAGTCAGAACCACCTCTGCCATACTAAGCAGGTTTAATTTCTGACTGAAGGCAGCCCCTCCCCTCTTTAAGCTTATCTGTGAGAAGAGAAGATTCCTGTTCTAACGGCCGGACTCTGCAGACGCCGTCCCTTGGAGGCCCGGTTCTGTAAGAACCTCGCTTTGGTTTCTGTAAAGCGGATCTGGTTTCAGACTAATTTTATCAAACTTACGGAGAAAATTTTGCTGCCGCTATGAAAGAACTAAAAAATAAAACGACAAACAGAACCTTACAAAAGTATTCAGACCTTTGACCCGGTCCAAAACCAAACCTCAATGTTCAAGCTAAGGGCTGAGAAAGTGGGACAACCAAAACTCTGAAAAATAATTCATGAAGTTTATCCTTTCTAGAAAAAAGAATCTGAAAAGTGTGAAGAGCAAAGTATTCAACCCCCCCAACCCTAAGTCAGTACAGGTTCCGGCCACCTTCCTCCTTTGTAGGGATGGAACAGTTTATGAAAACCGTTCGGATAGACTGTCTCGGTTCGGTTGGCGTGTGTTTCGTTCGGTTCATGCGCTGCTCCTTTTTCTCATAGGCGAAGCGTTTACACTCCAGAGCAGAAGGTGGCGGTACTGCGACCAAAGCCAACCACCAGTAGTAAACATGAAGAAGAAGAAGCGAAGCAGCGTAGCCGGGTGTAGCAGGGAAAAAAATCAGTTGTTGTGGAGAATTGTGTGGGTATGGCGAGTGGAAAAGAACAGGAGTTGGAAGACGCGGCAGCAGCACTTTATAGGTCTGCTGTATGGGACCACTTTGTATTTATGACGGCGATGACGGCGGAAAGAAAGTTGTGGATAAAAACAGTGTGCAAGCATTGTGCAACACGTTTTGTTTATGCTAACAGCAACACGACCAACATGTCGTTGGCTAACAATCAACAATAACCGTGAACCGAACCGAACCGTGGATTTTGTGAACCGTTCCACCCCTACTCCTTTGGGTCATATCTCTAATGGTGCGTTCAGACTGAACATGATCACAGTGTAAAAGCTCCTGTCTTCTATCTGCTGCCGGGTTCAATTCAGCATGGTGGACCTGGATCTACACCAAGCAACTTTCTGGCCAGAAGTTCGATGGCAAATCCTCCCTCTTCAAGTTGGCAATCCAACAACGAACCCGTCCGTGGAGGATCAGGAATCAGAAAGGTGGAATAACTTTTTTTCACTTTTACCCGATGTATTCCAGCATCCAGCTGCCATGCACGTGGGCATTGTCAGTTTCACTATAGCTCTGGTGAATTTCAATGATGAAGTCCTCTGGAAATCTTCAATAATTGTTGTTGATTGCAGATGTGTCTAGTAGTTCCCATTGATTTTGCTTGTAAAGCGGGGAGAATGGCGCTAGGCTTACCGCACCGTGACGTCACCGCTGGAAGATGGCAGGAGGGAGGGGGTACTATATTTGGGCAAAAATGGCCGCTCCCAGACTATTATCTTTATTTTTTTTTACTGATTAACACTAAATTCTTTAAATCACGGCGGATGTACTAGTTTCAGGTATAAATAATGACCCATTGGTGACCAAACTTTTCCTTTAAAACTAGGCCATGTGAGGAGTTCTGGATGGAAAACATTGATGGAAAAAAAAAGGTTTTCCATCTTGAACGGTTTGTTCTAGTTTTGGTATAATTACTGCTCTGAGTCGCTCTCTAATCTGATGACATAATTTAGTTTCTATACTCCAGTAAACAATTATTTATTACAATTGATTACAATTAGTTGACGATTATTTCAATACTTGTCGGGGCGACAGTGGCATTGAATGTAGGAGTTTGCCCTGAAATCGAAGGATTGGCGGTTCAAGCCCCGACTCAGACTTTCAGTGTCGTTGTGTCCTTGGGCAAGACACTTCACCTGCATTGATGGTGGTCAGAGGGCCCGGTGGCGCCAGTGTACGGCAGCCCCGCTTCTGTCAGTGAGCCCCAGGGCAGCTGTGGCTACAATGTAGCTTGCCACCATCAGTGTGTGAGTGTGTGCGTGAATGGGTGAATGAATGTAGTGTAAAGCGCTTTGGACATGCCATTTACCATTTTTCCAATCACATTTTTTTTTTATCCCTAATTATTTTCCATTCTAAATGGAAAAAAAGAAAGTTTCCGCTGTGCTCCTTCACCCTACTGCCTCCATATCTAGTCCCTGACTGATTCCTGCAACATGAGACAAGAGTTCACGTGATCAAACTACTTTGCTTTGCATAAATCGCAGATGACGTGTCGCCGGAATCGTCCAAACTGTGCCGGTGGTGTTGCTACAAACGCATCGCTCCTGTACAGGGAGGAATAACATGAAAGAGCATTCGTTGTGAACGTACCTCAACACCTTCATCTACAGGCTGACATTTTACCAATCCTACTCTAAAACAGAACGATGGACTGAAGCCTCTCCGTCTTGAGGTCTGAACTTTGACTAGGCCGTTTTAACCTTAGCTCAGCTTCTAACTAAATCTATAGTATCCATGGCTGCATATCCTGGTTTAAGTCCATTCATCATTCCTTTCCCACAGCATGATGCAGCAACCTCCGTGTATCATTAGGGCTGGTGTGTTCAGAGTGATGTGCAGTGAATGTTTTGCATGTAAATCATGTTTTTCCCTTTTCTTTCTCTTCAAACAGCTAAAGGTCTTCCTTCAGCTCCTCCATTATAGGCCAGTTCACCTCTGAAGCCTCTGGCTACATTGCATCATATTCAGAAGTATTAGAGTAAGGGGACCAAACCTTTCTGATCTTTTTCCCTCTTGCCAGAGATGCTCTACTTGGTGTTGGTCTGTGGCTGTGTTTAGAACCTTAAGCCTGTCTCTAAGATCAGCTTATACATTAAACCAGCCGGCAGCAGACCGGCCGTTGACCCCGGACCTGTCTGATCCAGCAGGTAGGTCCGTCCTGCAGAACTCCGTAAGTGGATTTAGGATTCCTCTCTGGGTTTTAGACACCATGTGACTTCTTCCCAGATGACACAGATTCAAACGGGTGATGCAGGGACATACACACCTGAACTCACCACGGCAGAGCTTGTCCAGAGCCTCTGGGAAGGCGCGGGTGTAGCGCACAGGGAGGCAGAGATGACCTTCTGACCTTTTAGAGAAACCAAACTGCAGTGAGTGAAATGAAGCAGCGGTTCTGAATGGATTCAGACGGGTTTTTACCTCTCTGGGTCCGTGTTCACTCCGACCACCGGTTTGTCCTTGTTTAGAACCTTACTGGCCACCAGCAGCATCGTCCCGTCCCCTAAAACAAACTGCAGTTATTCAGTGCGTTCATCCTGCTGCAGAACTCATCACTGGACGGAATTAAGCGATTGTTAATCCTCTTTCTCACATATAAAGCCTTAAATTGCCAAGCTCTATCTTACATCAGAGATCTGATTGTTCCTTATGTTCCTAACAGAGCACTTTTCTCTCAATCTGCAGGTTTACTAGTGGTTCCTAGAATTTCTAAAAGTAGAATGGGAGGCAGATCTTTTAGTTATTAGGCTCCTCTCCTGTGGAACCAACTACCAGTTTTAGTCCGTGAGGCAGACACCCTGTCTACTTTTAAGGCTAGGCTTAAAACTTTCCTTTTTGATAAAACTTATAGTTAGAGTGGCTCAGGTTATCCTGAGCTATCTCCATAGTTATGCTGCTATAGGCTTAGACTGCTGGAGGACATAGGGACCCCTTTTTCATCCTATCTCTATTCTCCCACTCTGCAGAATCTGTTAGTTCAATCTCTAACGTTCTGCTCTCTCTGCTTTTTCTCATAGTAGCTTCATCTGGTCTGTTCCTGTTTGGCTGTGACTCCATCCTGGAGAGAAATATCAGCTGTGATGCTGCCATCAACAAGTACCCATGACTCTCATATATCGATATATATATATATATATATATATATATATATATATATATATATATATATATATATATATATATATATATATATATATATATATATATATTACGGTTGTCACGATACTAAACTTTTCAACTCCATACCGATACTAAGGAAAATATTCGATACTCGATACCATTTTCGATACCACAAGGATAAAAACAAAGACTCCAAAATTCTACAGAAAATTTTCATTAATAAATAAAATACAATAAATAAATACAATAACGGTTGTATGCTGTGCACAATATTAATCAAGCTTGATAAAAAACTTATAAAATTAAAATTAAGTGTTCCTTCCTTGGCTATGCTTTGCACACATAACAATGACACTAGCCAAACTGGTTAAAAAACAAAAATAATTCTCAGCAGCTGCACCTGTTACAAAAAAAGTCTGAAACTGAAAAGTGCACAGAATTATTCAATCACACAGTGTTCTGATTGTGCATTGTCCTCTCTCTATTCTGCACTTTAGATGAATGACTGCTTAGGTGCCACTCGTGGTGGCACTGTATCGATACTTTTAAAAATGAGTATTGTATCCGGATACAACATTTTGGTATCGATACTTTTTTGAGTTTCGATACTTTTGACAACCCTAATATATATATATATATATATATATATATATATATATATATATATATATATATATATATATATATATATATATATATATATATATATATATATATAAGGGGTGTGTCACATGCTTGTCAGGAGGCCAAGCAGTCTTGGAGGTGGGACCCAAACTGGTTGAAAGAAGAACATGCTTTGTAGAGTTTTCAGCAGACAAAATTTTAATTTCTTCTTGTGCAGGACATCAACCAAACCACACCAACCAAGAACAATGGCAGACATGTTTCTTAAATAGAGGAGGAACTAAATTGGAAGAAACCATTTTTAAAAAGACTGTTCAGCTTCACAATAAGAAGAAAAGGAAATTTTGGTTTAAACAAACAACTACTTAAGAAATACTTTTACCAATAAATACAGAAACAAATAAATTAATTCAATCCAAACAAATACTCAAACTCAATAAAGAAAATACCATACATCAGATCAACCTCCTCCCTCTTCAATTATCTAATGGTACAGTCCTGTACACACCTGCTTGGAGAGTGAAACAGCAGAGGTGAGTATTTCAAAATATTTTAAATATTTAATGTCCCTTTTATAAATAAACAAAAATATATATATATTTTAAAGTGAAATCAATTTACCTTTTTACAAAAATAAAAACAAGATGTGGCCAACCAAAGAACCAAAACCCAAACAAATATAAACCAATGTAGAAAACCAGATCCTGTGTTTAGCTGCTACTATGGCCAATATACAATTAACAATGGCTCATTGTTACATCTCCTCCCCCCTTCTCCCAAGAATAAAGTACTTCAATTTTCATGTACCCGGGAAAGACAGTCTGCCACCAGGTTTGCCTTTCCTGACCTATAGTGAATAGTGAAGTCATAAGGCTGAAGTGACAAATACCACCCTGTGAGACGAGTGTTCGATTCTTTCATCCTCTTGAGCCACTGCAGAGCCCGATGGTCAGTTTCCAGGTAGAAGTGACGTCCTAAGAGGTAGTACTTCAGGGAACTAATTGCCCACTTCATGGCCAAGCACTCCTTTTCCACAGTCGAGTAACGTGTCTCTCGATCCAAAAGTTTCCGGCTCAGGAACAGTACTGGCTTTCTTTGTCCATCCACGTCCTGCAAAAGCACAGCTCCCAGGCCAACTGCTGAAGCATCAGTTTGAAGAATGAATGAATTATTGAAATCAGGGGTGTGAAGAACAGACTCACTTGTTATGGCCATCTTCAGGTCTTTAAAGGCCCTGTCACAGTCCTCGGTCCATTTCACTTTCGTTGGTGCTGAAGCCTTTGTGAGATTAGTTAACGCCGCTGCTCTGTCAGCAAAATGTGGAATAAATTTGCTGTACCAACCTACCAGTCCTAGGAATGCTCGAACCCTCTTTTTGGTGCTTGGAACAGGATAGGAGTGGATGGCATCCACCTTTCCAACTCGAGGCTTTATAACACCTTGACCAACAATATGGCCCAGATAGTCCACTTCACTTTTTGCTAAGGAGCATTTGCCAGGATTGATTGTAAGCCCAGCATTTTTTAGCAGCCGAAGAACCTGCTGAAGGTGAGTAACATGTCCTCCCATGTCTGGCTAAAGATGACCACATCATCCAAATAGGCAGCAGCAAATTGTGGTACATCTCGAAGAATCTGGTCCACGAGTCTCTGAAATGTTGCTGGTGCCCCCTGTAGACCAAACGGCATCACCTTGAACTGGTACAAACCAAATGGTGTGGTGAAAGCTGTCAGTTCTTTAGTTTCTTGTGCCAAGGAGAGTTGCCAATAACCTTTGCTCAAGTCAATAGTGCTGATGAACTTTGAATTGCCAACCTTCTCCAACAACTCATCTATTCTTGGCATTGGGTATGACTGACACTTTGACATTGAGTTAAGATATCTGAAGTCAATACAGAATCTTAGAGAACCATCTTTTTTTGGAACCAAAACAATAGGACTACACCACTCACTTGTAGATTGTTCTATTACGTCCAGCTGCAACATCAGCTCGACTTCCTCTTTGAGTTTCGGCAGCAGACGTTCAGGGATCCGATAGGACCTTCGGCGTGGTATAGCATCAGCTTTGAGATGAACTTTATGCTCAACCAGAGTAGTAAAACCCGGCCGTTCTGTGAAAAGGTCTGGGTCAAGCAATGCCTGGATCTCTCTCTGCTTACCAGGCTGAAGATGTGACAGATCCACTGTCATGGATTTCTGGTCTTTTCTTGGGAACTCCTGTTCTCTGTCCTCTTCCGCTTCACAAATGAAGAGATGTGGCTGAGGTGAGTCCTGTTTCAACAGTTGGACCTGCTTGGATGAAGGACAGTGAAACTCCTTCAAAAGATTCACATGAAAACACTGATGTTTCTTCTGTTTATCTGGTGTGTGGAGTTCATACGTGACCTTACTCACACATCTTGTGATCTCATAGGGGCCATGCCATTTGGCCAGCAGCTTGTTGTCACTGGTGGGTAGAAGAAGCAAGACCTGCTGTCCAACCTGAAAAGTTCTCTGTCTGGCCTTTTTGTCATACCAGAACTTCTGGTTAGCTTGTGCGGTCTTCATATGCTCCTGTGCTAGTGTCGTCATCCGCTCCAACCTGTCTCTCATCTGAAGAACATAGGCAACCACGTTGTCCTGTTGAGATGTCGGAGTCTCCCAGTGATCTTTCAAAAGATCCAGTGGTCCTCTGACTTGGCGACCATAGAGAAGTTCGAAAGGAGAGAAACCTGTGGATGCTTGTGGAACCTCCCGGTATGCGAACAAAAGATATGGCAGCCACTGGTCCCAGTCAGAGCCTGTTTGGGAGACAAACTTCCGCAGCATGTTTTTTAGAGTCTGATTGAATCTCTCCACCAGCCCATCCGTCTGGGGATGATATGGGGTGGACCTAATACCCTTAATACCTAACAGCCCATAAACCTGCTGCAGCAGTTTTGATAAAAAGTTTGTGCCACAGTCAGTCAGGATTTCTCTGGGTATGCCCACTCTCGAAAACAGCTGGACCAAACAGTTAGCCACATGCCTAGCAGTGATAGATCTAAGAGGAAATGCTTCAGGGTAACGAGTGGCATAATCACAAATAACGAGGATATATCTATGGCCAGATGAGCTTTTCTCAAGGGGCCCTACTATATCCATTCCAATTCTGTCAAATGGAGTAGCAATTAGCGGCAATGGCTGAAGTTGGGCCCGTGGTACCCCCAAAGGTGATGTTAGCTGGCAAGTTTGACATGTAGCACAAAACTCTTTCAGTTGTATGTACATACCAGGCCAAACAAACCTACTGGCTATCCTTCTGAGGGATTTCTGAAATGCTAGATGACCTGCCCATGGAACAGAATGACCAAGCTCCATTACTTTCTGTGTTAAACATTGTGGTAATGCCAAAGCCTCAATCATGCCCTGTCTTTGATAGAGAATGCCATTTTTAATTATATATGTAGTATCTGCTAGACAATCTGCTGTGTGTAGTTTGTCACCCTCTACCTCTGTAACCTTATCAAACCAAACTTTTAGTTTTGGATCAGCCCTTTGAAGTGCAGCAACATCTGAGGGAATTTCAAAATCTATGGCCTCACTTGGTTCTTTAATAACTTCACACAGGTTTTTTGATGAAACCAAAAACTTCTCCCTCCTCTTTTGTGCTCTGGTCTTCTGCGGCCTCACTGGGCCCCCATCTAGCTCTGCATGGTAAAAAGGTAACTCCTCAAGAGTGTTCTGTGCTCCCTGAGCTCTGGTGCTTGCCATATTACAAGAAGCATGAATATTCCCCACTAAATGTCTCTCTACCCCTTGAGCTTCTGCCGAGACACTATTCTGTCCATTCAGCTGGGATTTGTTTTTTGCTAGATGGATGAGATCAAAAAGAACTGGAACATCACTGCCCAAAATAACAGCATAAGGGAGCTTATCCACCAAAGCTACTGACATAAGGTATGTTTGACCATCAGCAGTTAGGTAAACCTCAGCTGTAGGGTATACCTTCTCATCCCCATGAACACAGCAAATGTTAGCCGAAGCATCAGCCCACAGGTCTCTTGGCACAATACTAGAGTGAACCACAGACTTAAAGCAGCCTGAATCTAACAAGGCCTCCTCACGCTGACCATTAATCAGAACAGCGACAGTTAAAACCTCTTTTTGAACTGGAAGAGGTTGAGACGGTCTTGGAACTGTACACAGCAGGGAGGGTGTAGTATGTCTGCTTGAAGGGCATGTATACTGAGTATGACCTAGTCCATTACAGAGGTAACAGCGAGTGTCTGGTCTAGAGTTGGAAAAAGATTGTCTATTCTTATTCGGTCTTGAAACACCAGGTTTAGATAAAGGTTTTCTGAAATTACAGTGGGACCTATTTTGGATTTGTCCACCCCCATCACCCCCATAGGACTTACTGCTTCCAGTGAAACGGCTGTCACTGTAGAAGGCTGAACTGTGGCTCCCGGTCCTGGCAGACAGGAACACCTCTGCAAGTTGAGCAGCTTCTTCAGCAGACTTGGGGTCCCTTTCACGTATCCAAATCTCCATCTCTGGGTTCATCATTCTCAGGAACTGTTCCAGAATCAGAAGTTCTGAGATGTCTTTCACTGTAGAAGTATCAGGCTTCACCCATTTATTAAAAAGGTATTTTAGTCTGACATACAGTTCACGTGGGGTTTCACCAGGATTGATGTCCAGTGCACGAAACCGTTTCCTGTATGTGTCACGTGTGATTTCATACTTTGCCAAAATCACCTCTTTGACCTTCTCATAATTGGCTGAGTCATCAAAGTCCATTAGAACATATGCACTTCTTGCTCTACCAGTGAGCAGGGGAACAAGCTGAACTGCCCATTCATCTTTTGGCCAACCGCAGACTGTAGCTATTCTTTCAAAAGTCATCAAATAATGTTCAATGTCATCTTCTGGTGATAATGGCAGGATCTTAGGCTGTTTGGGTAACCTTAATACTCTTTGAATGGGTGGGTCTTTCTGTCGATCACGTGCAGATACTTCATAATCAGCACCATCAGAATCATCTTCAGTGTCTTCAGTTTCATCATCATCAGCAGTTACTTGTGGCCCAGTACTTTTGTCAACATCATCTCTCAGTTGTCTCACCTGAGCTTGAATCTGCTGGAACTGATGTTTCAGTGACTTCATCATTTTTTCTTGCCGTGTGGACTCCTTTTCCAGTTGTTCATCTCTGGAAGCCTGGGATTGGATTAGAGACTTTACCAGACTGGTTAATTCCTCAAATTTATCAGGATTGCTGTCTTCTGCTGCTGGTGCTCCCTGCTGCTCATCAGAGGAAACTGGTTCACAAACATCTGGTCCCTCTTGGTGCTCCACCTTCTTTCCACCTCGCGGCATAATTTAGCATGTAGTTTCAAACCGTAGCTTCTGACACCACTTGTCACATGCTTGTCAGGAGGCCAAGCAGTCTTGGAGGTGGGACCCAAACTGGTTGAAAGAAGAACATGCTTTGTAGAGTTTTCAGCAGACAAAATTTTAATTTCTTCTTGTGCAGGACATCAACCAAACCACACCAACCAAGAACAATGGCAGACATGTTTCTTAAATAGAGGAGGAACTAAATTGGAAGAAACCATTTTTAAAAAGACTGTTCAGCTTCACAATAAGAAGAAAAGGAAATTTTGGTTTAAACAAACAACTACTTAAGAAATACTTTTACCAATAAATACAGAAACAAATAAATTAATTCAATCCAAACAAATACTCAAACTCAATAAAGAAAATACCATACATCAGATCAACCTCCTCCCTCTTCAATTATCTAATGGTACAGTCCTGTACACACCTGCTTGGAGAGTGAAACAGCAGAGGTGAGTATTTCAAAATATTTTAAATATTTAATGTCCCTTTTATAAATAAACAAAAATATATATATATTTTAAAGTGAAATCAATTTACCTTTTTACAAAAATAAAAACAAGATGTGGCCAACCAAAGAACCAAAACCCAAACAAATATAAACCAATGTAGAAAACCAGATCCTGTGTTTAGCTGCTACTATGGCCAATATACAATTAACAATGGCTCATTGTTACAGGGTGGAACGGTTCACAAAATCCATGGTTTGGTTCGGTTCACAGTTTCGTGGTCACGGTTTTCGGTTTGGTATATGTTGATTGTTACCCCGAAATCCCATAAAAATTCATGAAATTAATCAAAAAAAAAAAAAAATTAATGAATTGTAATTATTTTTAATGATCCGCGGAAACCCTGGATCATTTCCGCATGTTTTGCCGCTTTGAATTTAATCATCTGGCGCATGCCCTCTACCATCTCCAAGGAACTCAGAGTGGAGCGGACGGGAGCCACAGTGGAGGCTGTAGGCTTTGCTTTGTGCAGGCGGTCTGGAGCGCAGCGGGGCGGAGCGCTGACGGAGTATGAGGGATTTTGGGGGTTAGCATGACATGTTGGTGATGTTGCTGTTAGCATAAACAAAACGTGTTGCGCAATGCTTGCACACTGTTGTACTTTTATCCACAACTTTCTTTCCGCCGTCATCGTAGGTCACTCTAAATGCAAAGTGGTCCCATACAGCAGACCTATAAAGTGCTGCTGGCGCGTCTTCCAACTCCTGTTCTTTCCCACTCGCCATACCCACACAATTCTCCACAACAACTGATTTTTTTCTGCTACACCCGGCTACGCTGCTTCGCTTCTTCTTCTTCTTGTTTACTACTGGTGGTTGGCTTTGGTCGCAGTACCGCCACCTTCTGCTCTGGAGTGTAAACGCTTCGCCTATGAGAAAAAGGAGCAGCGCATTAACCGAACGCAACACACGCGAACCGAACCGAGACAGTCGAACCGAACGGTTCGGATGGTTTTCATAAACTGTTCCATCCCTAATATATATATATATATATATATATATAGTTTTCCAGCCACTTTTGTTGAAATTTGCATTTTACGCTAGATTTTTCTCTGCTTCTGAACATATGGATGTACGATCAATATAATATATCTGACAAAATTGTTTTTATAATCCTATTTTTTTCATTTTAAATAAAGCATTTAAATTCCACAATAATCACATTTAATTTTTTTTTATTTTAATGCCAATTAAGCCTCAATTTAACAAATAATAATTCAGTAACTATGAATGATTTTTAATGACCCGCGGAAACCCTGTGAATGTTTGAGCCAATACAAGGAGAATTGGTGTTGGTCCACCTCTAGTCCTGATTAATGAATCCTTTTATCACAATTAGCCGTAAAACAAGCAAAATGTTTGTCATCAATCTCCATCAGATATAAAGGCTCAAAGAGGTTCTGATGCAAAGGATCCAATAAAAAGAGGGTTGGTACCTCCAGCAGAGATAATGGCGTCGGCCCATCGGACCACCTCCTCGTTATACTCGCTTCTCTTCACCACTCGGACCTGGATGCCTTTCCTCCTGCAAACAGACGAGCAAACGGACCGATTCAGAGCTGCTGCTGGCTGTTAGGCGGGGTGAGGATGAGCGGCTACGGAACTCACTGCAGGCTCTCTAGAATATGTTTCACGTTGTTGGTGTGAATGTTGTGTCTCTCCAGCAGGCCGCTGTAGCTGGAGCCCTTCAAGGCGAGCTGCAGAACAAACAGAGTCAGGAGGTTAAACTGTAGGTTAATGGATTCCCCACTTATTAGTGATTCTAAAGTCCTTAAAAACAACACTGCAGCTTCTGACGGGTCAAAGATTAGAGGTGTAAATCACACCCATCATGGCGTTTCGATTCAGTATCAATTTTCTGACCCAACGATTTATTTTTGATACTCAAGAATACACCACGATATGATTTGATTGTTTTTGTTTTTTTACTTTACAGGCTAGACAATGTTTCAAACTTGAAATAAATCAATGAAAGCTGTAATATTGTTATGCATTTTATTTGAGAAACGACAGCAAATAGCAGAAAAGTTGTACTCCACCTAGGCCTAAGAAAACTAGCCTCGTGAGACCATCCTGATCTCGCGAGCTTTCAAGATTTCACTCGCAGATCAGTCTGGAGACTCTCCGTTAAAGAAAATTTGGAGCCGTTCACCAAACAAACGTCCAATCAGCATTGGCTTTGAGGCGGGTTGAGGTGTGATGCAACGAGAAGCGCGACAGTTCAGTCTAAAGAACATGGCGGCTTCAGCCGATGAAACTAGCGTTAGCGTGGCTATCGAGCAAGTTTTATGGGAATTACAGATTATTTCTTCACTGAAAGAAGAGCAAAACACTGCTCTGGAGGCTTTTCTCAGAGGAAAAGATGTTTTTGCTCTTCTCCCGACTGGTTTCGGCAGGAGTAGCCTGGCTTGTGGTTGTGTTTTCGTCGTCGCTCTGTTAGTACGTCTTATGCTTCGTTGATCTGATTGGTTTATTTGGCCCGTCTATCACCAACATAGCCCCATCAGCTAACCAGTATTTTCGCCCCTTCCCAAAATTACTTCAATGGAAGGTTTCAAACTTGAAATAAATCAATGAAAGCGGAGTCAGGTTATATGAAAACCTCATCCACTGAAAAATAATAATGCCTCTGTGTTATAGATTCTGAAAGGCATGCATCAAAAAAACATTGCAAGCAGAAAGAGGGCAGGAGGGAAAAATAGGTTTAGCGCCACCGCAGCACGGGAGTCAGAATTACATCCAGGAGCAAATGGATAAAAACAGACCGGAGGAAAAAAAACAAAAAAAACATGAATCGATACTCTTGCGGACGTGACGATGCATCAGATTGTCGGCTGTCGGATCGATGCATCGATACTAAACAATTTTTATTTACACCCCTATCAAAGATTCACCAGGATGTTCTTTTCAGAAGTGAAATTAAAAATAATCTAGACTTGCCAGACGGCCTGAGTAGTAAAAATTGAATGCATCCTTCAGAGTTCATATCCATAATAAATCTGCTGGAAACTCTGGCTGGTCTGCTGTCACTGTTTCCACAAACACGGCAGGAGAGACGTGCTGGAAAAACACATGATGCAGCGAAGCAGCGTGACTGCAGCCTGGAGCTGTGGTCAGTAAATAAACGGCAGCCGTTCATTTCCTACGGCTCTGCTCAGATCTTCAGCCTTGGTTTGTTTCATCATCTAACATTCTGGTCTTCAGGAGCGTCATCAGGTATTGGGATGTCCATGATGCATCAGTATGATACAGAGCATTAATGAAAGGCCCTGATATACAACAGAGTAGTAAATATTTCATCCTCACAGGACTTAGTCCTGATTTTACTGATATGAATACCATGAACAGAAAGCTTATATTATATCAAATAAATTAGTTTTTTGAGTCCTACAGACGACTCAAAGCTTCTAACATTAGATCCACGTTCACTGATGTACAAACCAGTAGGCCATCTGCATTAAGAATCTGCTTCTACATTTCTAACCATCAATGTTTTAATTTTCGATGAAGCATCACAGGAAAGACAAACAATGAAATGCAAAAAAAAACACTTTTAAATAAAGTTTTAATTGAATCTATTTTTCAGGATAAAGTGTTTTAACTCTCAACATTCCTTTGACATTAGATAGACCCCACTTAATGAGATCATGCATCCGAGGAGCTACAGAGAACCGAAGCTTAAAAGGGAAATAAGATTTTCATTTAACATTCAACTGTAAGCAAGTCAACAGTAAGAAAAATATGTTTTTAAGGAAAACGACAGCCTGGCCAACTAGACTTATAGAGGCTCAGTATCTTCTCTCTAAAACAGAATGGATTAAGGATGTTAACTAAGAATTGACTCAAGTTTAATTGTTGATAAATGGTTTATTCAGGGCTCGATGTGAACCATTGCCTACGGAAGAGGATTAGGGCCACTGAAAAAAAAAAAAAAAGTTAACTGATTTATTTTATTTTATTTCAGTATAGTATGGGAAAAAAGTCAGAATTCTGACTTTAATCTCAGAATTCTGACTTTTTTTTATTGTCAGAATTCTGAAAAAAAAAAAAGTCAGAATTCTGACTTTTTTCCCCATGTTAAACTGGAATAAAATTTAAAAATTAGTTGTTGGGAGAGTACAAATTTCACTGCATTCGCCCGCCAGGCAAGTGCAATGATCGCGCAAAAAAAAAAAAAAATATATATATATATATTTATCACTCAAAATTACTTTAAAATCCCCGACATTCGATGAAAACGACCCAGAAGCATTGCCGGCGCCATTTTTGTTGTTTTGTACACATTCTCGCGTGATTGTAGGTAATTGTATACCCTGCGCACAGTGTAAATATGGCTGTGATATGGCAGTCTTCTGTACAGTGATGCAGGTCATACATAAAAAAAAACGTTCATTAAATTTTATTCTCTTAGACATTGGAGAGGTGCATTTAAATGTTATAGAGCTAAACATATTAAATTGGTGAAAAGTCAGGGAATTCTGAAATGATGTCAGACTGTGGAAAACCTGAATAAAATAACTATGTATAATGATTCTCTAGAAAAGTCACATTATATTAATAGTATTATCTTCTATAAACATACCATGACTCTAAACTCTGACATTGACTTCTGTCTTGTGATTTATCTCAAGTTTTTAACCTGTCAAGTTTTTTTTTTAGATTTTTAACATTTTAATTTATATTTTTCCAAGCAGACAACAGTTTAACGCAAAGTTTAGTTTGAAAAGAATGTGCAGGAAGGATTGAAAAGAATGTTAACACGGTAATGCAGGCTGGAGTTCATTATCTGACGCATGCATATACACACCAGGAACCTGGAAACTTAAAAAATACTGAATTACAAAAAACATTTAATAAACAAACATGTTTCATTGATATATATACAAAAATGAATATTAGGAACTAAATTTATCAAACATTATACTGGGCAAGTAAAAATTGTTTCTGGGCAAATGAAATGTGAAAGGTTAAAAATCCTTAATGTCAACCCCTGTTATTATATTAAAAGGTCTTCCATCCGATTATCAGTGTTCGCGTAAAATAATTATCTGTGTTGTAGTCTACCACCGTCCAATAGAGGGCGCTACTGGTAATTTTGAAGCAGAGCCACACTGTTAAATCACAAGAAAAGTAATTAAGTAAATAAATTCAAGCAACTCCTTCAGTGGGTGTGTTTGATTTCAGAGGCTGCGTCCTTGGAGGTCTGTGTAGATAAGGATTGATGGATGCAAACAGGTCCAGCCTTCTCCTGGCTTTCACCACATGTACACTCTGTTGCCTAGCAACCGCTACAGTTGACACACAAAGCAGGGAAAGCATGGATAATAAACTTCTCACTACTGTTCTGTGTCCTGATATCATTTTCAAGGAGCTTCAGCAGCAGTACCGTCATCGCAGATATCAGATTTATAGTACCCACACTGGGGGGAAATGATTGGTCAAATTTAGGTGTACAAGCTGACGTGTAACTAACTGGCCTGCATAAGTTAACAGAAGAAAAAAAACACAGATTTTAAAACAGGATTTTTTTGAAAATATAAATTTTCTAACTTTTGGGACAATATAGTCTGATAAAGAGAACATTTACATGTTTAAGCCAGAATGATTTGACATTTAAATATGCTTTCCCTATGGCTTTAAATGTCAGCCAAACCCATCTGCACACGGACAGATAAAACCTTTCAATAAACCATACATTACCTGAAACTTATCTGATTTAATAGCCATTTAAAAAAAAACATTTTAATTCATTTCAGACACAATTATTCACATACTGGTATTATATTAAACTGCACGTCCAATATTGACCACTGTCTGGCGCCATTTCCCGAGAACAAGCAGAAAAGTGCTGCAGTTCTGTTTGCGCCACAGGTGGCAGTTTCATTAGAAAACTATATAATGCCTCTTTAAAAAAAATAAAACCTCCTCCCTGCTCTTTCTATAAACCTATTCTTGTGTATTTTCGGTGGATTTATGCAGACGGCTCTGCAGGAGTAAAGAACACAGCTTGGATGCAATGACTATTATCCGTCAAAGTCTTGGATCAGCTTTTCTGATTGGTTGGAGCGCTGCCTTGCTAATCCACCAAAGACTCTGCATGTAAACGCCTTCGGTTTAAATGCAGCATTACCTGATGGGAAAACATTATCCTGTACCTTTTAGGTGTATCCCTTCTCTGACATTTCTAATTAAAAATTTTGATTTTTCCAACAAGTATCCAAACATTCAGCTCTGCAGAAACTTGGTAACAACTAGTGTTGCACAGATACCAATACCAGTATCGGGCTGGGCCCCGATCCAGCACTAAAATGGTGGGATCGGTGAGTACCGACAAATAGGGCACCGATACCATTTTGAGAGCCAAAAGTTTATTCAACTATTGTCACCCATTCCAGGTAGGCAATAAAAAGTTCTACTGGATTCACTTTGTATTAGTCTTTTTCCTGCTTCTCAAAGGTAGGCAGCAGCTTGACAAAGCCATGATGGCAATTATTTTACATCCAAGTAGTATGCAGTTCTTCATATATACACACATACATCAATTTCAAACAGATAGTATCGGTCAATACTGCACAGCCAGGTTTCGGGGCCAAAAAAATGTCAACAGCGCAACACTAGTAACAACACATTCATTTGAATCAGCTGTGTTGATGCATGTAAAGCTGCAGCACAGCTGCTCTGAAGAATTGGAGTGAAGCCTTGCTTAGATCAATGGCCTAGTCAAAGTCTAAGCATAAATCCTAGGATGAATCTCAATGTTTCATCTGATCTCACAGTGCTGAGCAGGAACATTACTGGGAATGGATGTCGGTCTGTGGAAAGCTGGCAGAAACCAGACCCAAAACACTGACGGCGTAAACCACATAGAGGCGGTTCCGTCTGTGTCAAACAGGACTGGTTGATGCAGACAGAATGAGCGTCTGCTAAATGGTCTGCACTTATTGGGTACGGGGATGTTTATCTGGGCTCCGCTGATCTGTTGGGCCAGGATCCAAATGGATGCCAAAACTTTACAGATTCTGATTGTAGAAATTATTAACCCATAAATACTCTTCTTTCTACCTCCAGGTTCTGATCTGGTTAGCGGGTCTGTAACATGTGAGCACAGGCGTAACTTTCTGAAGGACTGGTGTGGACAGTTTCTACCAAAAGTTCCTCCTTTTTGTCCCCTTTCCGCTCGTTTATTTTAGCCAAAGTTAACAGAGGTTGGGTGCAGCTAACTGTGTTCAGAGCATTCTGACTCCATTGTTGTGTTCTTCTTTGCCATTTAAAAAAATCTTGGCTTCTCATAAGGCAATGACTCCCAGTTACAGGTTAAAATAAACAAATTTTTTCGTATTGTACAGACAGAATCAGACTGCAGAGCTTCCACATATCTTGCATCATTGTATTAGTAAAGAGAGAAAGAAACTAGCCTCGTGAGACCATCCTGATCTCGCGAGCTTTCAAGGTTTCACTCGCTAATCAGTCTGGAGACTCTCCGTTGAAGAAAATTTGGAGCCGTTCACCAAACGAACGTCCAATCAGTGTTGGCTTTGAGGCGGGTTGAGGTGTGATGCAACGAGAAGCGCGACAGTTCAGTCTAAAGAACATGGCGGCTTCAGCCGATGAAACTAGCGTTAGCGTGGCTATCGAGCAAGTTTTATCGGAATTACAGAGTATTTCTTCACTGAAAGAAGAGCAAAACACTGCTCTGGAGGCTTTTCTCAGAGGAAAAGATGTTTTTGCTCTTCTCCCGACTGGCTTGTGGTTGTGTTTTCGTCGTCGCTCTGTTAGTACGTCATATGCTTCGTTGATCTGATTGGTTCATTTGGCCCGTCTATCACCAACATAGGCCAATCAGCTAACCAGTATTTTCTCCCCTTCCCAAAATTACTTCAATGGAAGGTTTCCAGATGGATATGCGGAGCAAATCCATCTGGCGGAGTCAGGTTAGAGAGAAATAGGGAGAGGTGCAGTTTTAAAGCTGCAGATTTAAAGGTGAAACAGATCTACCGGGATATGCAACACGCAATAAAATATATCTCGAAGGCCCCGTCCACACGAAGTCAAAACGAACACGAAACGCTAATATTTTCCATAACGTTTGTCGTAAAGACAGAGACGTAAAATAAATGTGATCGTCCACACGAATGCATGAAAACGCTGCAAAATGTATGCCAGGCCTGTAAGTGGCGCTGTGGTGCCAAACCAAAAATAGGCGACGAAATGTTGGGCATGCGCACTAATATTTATACACGGTTGCCCTGCGGGTCCATTTTCGTGGTTAAGTCAAATTCAGGAGCTGAACTATGTCGTCCATATTGCTCTGTTCTTCCTGGAGATATTCCAGAAGAAGAAGATTCTGTTGTAAGCCCGACAGCAGGGTGAGTAGCATGAGCAGCAACCATTCAACACAGTACGGCGCCATTGTTGTTGTGATACTGTGTCGCGCATGCGTGTAAAAAAAAAAATGCGGTTAGAGCGTAAAGATGGAAACGCGAAAACGGCGTTTCAAAATCTTCCCACTCTGAAGGCTGAATAAAAAAAAGATTGTTTACAGACCCCCGAAACGCCGGCTTCGTATGGATGAGAGGCTGGTTTGGTGAAAAATTTGTGCGTTTAGGCCAGGGTTCGACTTCGTGTGGACGGGGCCCAAGTTTACCAGAAAAAAACAATATGCTATGCTACATTTAAAAAGGAGCATATCCGTATTTTTCTGGATGGAATTGAAATTGTACTTCTGGGGATGCACGATATATTGATTTTGGCAGCAGAATCAGCAGCTGTTATTTCTTACATTTTCATACAATAATTTTTTTGGTGTATATATATATATATATATATATATATATATATTTGTATCTCTCTAACTATCTATACATATTACTGTCTTGTGGTTTGAGCTAATTTTTGGAAAATACCAAAACCTTATCATCCATCAGCCCCCACCCTTATTGTCCCTACTAACTTTAATCACTGAGTTACCTCCTTAGATGTGTTTTAATATTACTGAATCACTATGATCAGTGGACTGAATCAGAACACAATCTGGACCCATTCAAAGCCATTAAAGTCAGTTACCAGCTGCTCCAGGTCCTCCTCAGAGAGTCCAGCGTACCGGTACCGCTGCTGTTCGAACTCATAGCGCGTGGTTTTGGTTACCACGGCAACCTTCTCGGGTTTGAACCCAGCTCGCGGTTCTGCTGCGGAGCTAACCGCTGCAGTGTGCAGAGGTCGTAGGAATCCGGTTCTGATCACTCGGTTCCCGAACCACAGCAGGTTCACTACCGAGCACCGAGCCATTCCTCCGAGCAGTAGCGGGAACCAGCACCTGTGAGCCGGGATTATGGCGAGCTGAGCCGTGGGTTCTGGAGCTGGGTTATGGAGGGGACATTATGGGTCTGGTCGGTCACTCAGCCAACCGTCAGTCCGTGAAGGTCACCCGGTATGCCCGCTGCTCAGGTCCAGGGTCTGTGTGGAAGACACCAAGAGTTAACCTACAGGTTAACTAGTTACCCGCTAACGTGGTTATCATTTAACTAGCAGCGGTGCTGAGCGTGCTGACCAAGCTAAAGCTGCTAGCATTGGGGCTAATTCCAGCCTTAAACTTTAGCTCTTTATAAAAAATATATATATATTTATACAGATTAAACTTTTAAACTTGGAGTGCATTCGTGTACCGACTCAGTTCCAAAACACTTCAATACCAGATAAATCAAAATAAAAAGATAAACAGCAAACTACACAGGAGGAAGGCTAATACACATACCCAGCACGCTGGCACCAAATCTACGTAATTTACGTAGAGTTTCCCTGGATTGGCTACGTAATTAACGTAGCTCGTGACGGGAATTTCAGCTACCCTCCGAGATCCGCATCATTTGGCAGAGATCTTTTAAGAGAGTCGGATCTTTTGGCTCTTTTACGACTTCACTTGTTCCTGTTATCTAGTGAAACAGTTTCACATTACATGAATAGAATAGAATAGAATAGAATAGAATAGAATAGAATAGAATAGAATAGAATAGAACCAAGTATTACCACTAAGGGGAAATATACTACATAAGAAAAAGGTAATTGAAGACAGCATACCCAGATTTAAAGAAATGTTCAGCTTAGTAGGAATCAAATCCCCCAAACATCTTGAAACAAGATTAGATATATTTTGTCTTGGAAATGAATTAAAGATAAAAAATCTGACTTGTTTAATTGAAACAGACTGGCAACATTTCTTTATTTTTCAAAGTAACGGTTGCAAACATCTAGATGAAACTCAACAATTCCCTTATCAGAGTTGCACCGTGAAGATGTTGGTGGGACATTTTCCTTTGCACAAGAAGGTCTTGGAATTAAATCCCACCCTGGAGTCCTTCTGCATGGTTTCCTTTTATATCTGTTTGGGTCTTTAGGGTTCTTCCTCCCATGGCAGTAAGACTAAAAGCCCTGATATTTGCTCAGTGTTTCCCCACATTAGGTTCCTCTCCTGTCAGCTATGGGAAATTAAAGCTACAATCTCTGCAGACTGTGATCTGAATGGTCAAAACAATAAAAAATGTACACAGACAGACTATCCTGGAGTAATTTCATTCATTAATGCCTCATGGGAATGATGTTTGTAAAAATCCTGCCTGACCTTATCCTGATTTGGGGGGTATTCTTCACTAATTATACTCTGTGCTCCTGGGAATGCCTCTACATGCAGTCAGGTCACCTATTCCAGCTCCAGCTCCACTTTATCCAGCTAATTGTGGTCTGTGGTTCCCTCTGAGGAATTATCTTAAACTATAACACATCCCAAGTGTGATGATGTGCATCCTTCGAACCTCATTACTGTTTTCGCCTGAAACGATTCCGTTTATTCCCACAAACAGACGGCAAGTGATAAAAGCCCAAAGTAAGAGAAGCGGAGCAGGGATGGATGGTGTTTTTAAGTCAGAGAAGTTTTACACCTGAAAGTGTGTCAGAGAATCCTCTAAGTTCCTACGTTTCCTGATCTGTCCTCCTCACCCCTCCCGTTCTGCCATCTCTCCTCTATGTGAATCCGCTCCTGGTGGCAGAAGGTGAAGGAGATCTCAGTTTTCTCTGCTTCACTTTGGAGCTGCAGGAAAACTCCTGGAAGGTTTCCTCCGTCTCTGCAACTGCTTCACAGATCGGCCATCAAGACTGAAACCTGAAACATCAGACAGAGAGGTAGGTGAGCAGCTTCTTTATTCTCATTTCCACCAATAAACCAGGCTGCTGATGAAATAAGGAGTTAAACTTAATGAAATCTGACCCTTTGGAAGATGGAAGGGATGCAACCATAATAACCTGGATTTGTCCTTTTGGATCAAATAGCTCTGCAGATTTTTGTTAAATTAATTTTATGAAATTTGTTCTTATTTTTCCCACAAATAAGAAAATTTGAGGTAAAAATAAAAAATATCCAATCAGAGCTGATTCTTTGAATCCCAGTTAAAGCTTTGGAAAAACTTTCCCGTTTCTGCTTCCAGTTCAGCTTAACCTTGTTTAATATGTTTTATATCCTTTTTTTTTTTACCGTTTTGTGATATAATCAGGACAAAGGTATGATTTTGTATGCTAATATCATCCCAGCAGAAGTTAATAATTAGATATTTAAATATTTTTCTCAATCATTATAAATATTTTCTGTGTTCTTAGCCATTCCCTCCAATATAGAGATAAAGTAATGCATGGAGTCCAAAACTTTACAAATATGAGTTAAAATACCTTTACTTTCAACATAGATGACACGATGCTACTCTATTCGATATAAAAGCTGTTTACACATTTCTTGGTTTTTGTCTTATTTTTCTTATCTCAATTTTTTTTGTCATCGAGAAAATGTTTTTTATTTATTCCTTTACAATCTCTTTTTCAAGGGAGTCCTGGCCAAGGCAGCGGCAAAAGATTACATTACAGTTTACAATTACATCTATCTATAATTAGAAATTCATAAAACAGTTACAAACCATAGATCTCATTTCCAAACCATAGTACTGAAAAGCTGTCTTTCCAGCTTCAGTGTGGACACTAGGTACAGACAGAAGCAAAGACTCTTGAGAACGTAGAGAATACAGCCCAGCCGCTCTTGGTTGAATGTACTCACAGAGGTATGAGGGGAGCAGATGCAGAATACTCTTATAAATGATCATATACCAGTGAGTGAGTCTACGAGTCTCTAATGCTGGCCAGCCCACACGTTTGTAAAGTTCACAGTGGTGTGTGCGAGGCTTACAATTTGTGATAAATCGTAGAGAGGCATGGTAAACTGAGTCTAAAATTTTTAGAACTTGATCTGGGGCATTGATATAGATTGGGTCACCATAATACAGAATGGGTAAAAACGTTGCAGCTACCAGTCTCTTCTTCGAATTAAAAGAGAAACAAAGCCTATTCCTAAAGAACAAGCCAATTTTCAGTCTGAGTTTCTTAATCAATTGTTCAACATGAGGTTTAAAATTTAGACTTTCATCAATTAAAATTCCTAAATATTTAAAAGATTGAACCCTTTCTATCTCTGTCACATTTAAAGTTAACCTGAACAAAAAAGCGCAAAAATAATCAATCCCTAAGCTTAATAACTATTTTTTTTTATAAGTAGCGGCAGAATAATGTAGATTTCAGGCACTTTGGAAGGTAGTCCTGCAGTCGCTCAGTAGGATTTAAGTTCAGACTTTGACTAGGCCAGTCCAAAACCCAGGCATGAAAGGAGATCATCCTAAAACCGTTAGCTGCATGTTTTCTCTGACATTTCTGGTTCAAATGGGTGATTCCCCCCCCCACAATATCCAAGCAGTTTCCAGCATCAAGAACAGATTTTCTGTAAACTGTCCTTGAATTTCTTTACATGGAAGAACAATTTGCTTTTAGACTTAGACAACATATACTGTGTTTTTTATACACACAGTGTACACAAAACTAAATGTTCATTTCCATTTTCCATTTTCTTAAAGTGCAGCAGTGATCAAATCTTCTTGTCTCAGCCTACTTCATGCTGCCAGATAGTTTCTATATAAGCCGAAACCAGTCGGGAGAAGAGCAAAAACATCTTTTCCTCTGAGAAAAGCCTCCAGAGTAGTGTTTTGCTCTTCTTTCAGTGAAGAAATACTCTGTAATTCCGATAAAACTTGCTCGATAGCCACGCTAACGCTAGTTTCATCGGCTGAAGCCGCCATGTTCTTTAGACTGAACTGTCGCGCTTCTCGTTGCGTCACACCTCAACCCGCCTCAAAGCCAACGCTGATTGGACGTTCATTTGGTGAACGGCTCCAAATTTTCTTTAATGGAAAGTAGCCAGACTGATCTGCGAGAGAAATCTTGAAAGCTTTGCGAGATCGGGATGGTCTCACGAGGCTACAGGTTAATGGCTGCTCAAATAAAAATTTGGTGGATGTGTTTGTTTGGCCAAGTGTTTGGACTATTTCTCAGAAATATGCTACATTTTGTGGACATAGATATTTGTTGGGACAAACGACTGCTCCCTGTGAGAAGACGTTCTCTTCTTGAGTGGAGTTAGGTTTAAGGCTGAGGTGTGAATTAAGTTTAGGTTAAGTTTAGGGTTAGGTATGTTGGTAACGGTCAGGGTAAGGGTCTGGGTTAGGCCATACAAATGAATACAATATGAATGAAAGTCAATGGAAAGTCCTCATTGTGTTTCAGCAGGGGAAGCAGATTCTTTTAAGTCCTGCACTACGTGAAGAACATGTTAGCATGTATGAATAACTAACCTTCCCTTTAGAAAATTCATCTCTCCACCGTGTGCATGTGGTTCTGTCTGAGCAGGATGCAGCGGATCAGGGAAGGTATCCACATTCGGACCATGAAGGCCAAGAGAAAAGTGGAAGAGATTTCCAAAAAGGACGTCCAGGCGTTCCTGAAGAAGAATGCTTTCGTTCTCTTCACAGTGGGAGCAGTAATTGTAGGTGTGTGAACATCTTCCTCCTCCTTCAGTCGGTTATTGATACAGCAGGGAATCACTGTTGTCCTCGGTGCAGGAATCATCCTGGGATTTGCTCTGCGCCCGTATAAGATGACCTATCGGGAAGTGAAGTACTTCTCCTTTCCTGGAGAGGTTCTGATGAGGATGCTGCAGATGCTGGTCCTGCCTCTGCTGGTCTCCAGCCTGATTACAGGTGAGACATTCTGTCAGCTTGGACACTGGAGAAACAGGTGATGGTACAGATGTATTCATCCAGATAAATATAGATGTATCGTATTTTATTACAGGCTAACAATGGAACCAAACGACCCACTCATGGGTTACCATTTGCATGTTTCCAAGCGATACAAGGCCTTGTCTATATAAGACTCAAACTCACTGCGGATCCAGACATTTGAATTGAGAAAGCTTCCTGGAGAGGTGGAGAAAGGTCTTCAAATCTTGGAAATCAAGTCCAGTGGATATTTTTTGAACTTTTACGGAAAAACTGGTGTTAAAGAAAATAGATCGAAGGGTTATTCAGTCCAAAATGATCAAAAGTCCCTTTAAATGGGCTTAAACCTGTCCATCACACCTTGAAATCAATGCTGGGAGGAATTATTTCATATTGGACATCCCCTCAGTTAGAACATTGTGACCAAAAGGGATGAAACACAGGCAAGTGGACGTGACTCTTCAAATTTTGCTAAAAACTAAATTTTTTAAGTAGCTACACCCTAGCCTCTAAAAGGATGAAGAGATAAACCTTTTCTGTCATGAGATTAAAACTATCTTTCTGGGGCAAAGCATGATCTCCTGTTGGCTTCTGTTTAGGTCTGTTGAAAACATTTCCACTTAAGAAATCTTTCCAGTCATAAAAAAAGACACAGTGGGTTCTGTAGAAAGCTTTAAGATAAACCTCATTCTTATTTCAAAAGAAGAAAAAGTGATAGTTACTTCAAATAATCCAAACTTAAACTGGAGAGCATTTATTCAGAGGTGGAAGATTCCCACATAGATTAGATTAGAAATGCATGAATTAGGCTGCATGATCTTGCATCAAGCCATATTTCCAAGAATCTACAGAATAACTTCAACTTTTGTCCTACATTTTCAACGTTGTACCAGTTAATATTTGATGAAATCATGAACCTTCTATTTAATAATAGTAAATATGGTGTGAGAATCTTCTGGTGTCTAACCAGCCACACCGATTTATCCACAGCCTATAATACAGGGCTTTATTACAGCATCTCTCCATTACAGCTGCAATCTTGACAATTACAGAAAAAGACTGTTACATTATGGATAATTCTGGCTCAAGCTTGATCTCTCTCTTCCGGGCTGTGATTGGTCCGTTTTGCTTTTTTTAAAATAAACCAGTGAGTCTGAGCCTTACATCAGACTTACATCTTATTTAGGTCAATCTAACTGGCCAGGCTACTGCTGCCATGCAGGGAAAAGACGAGACGTACAGATTATTGTATCATCTGCATAGAAATGAAGTTTGGCTTGATTAAACTGCACTTAAGCTTGACTTAAAATATTTTTTAAAATCAAGAATAAAATTGAAGCCAACTTGGAGCTTTGGAGGAAACCTGAAATGATATTAAGGAGGACTGATTTGTACCTTTCTGCCGAGACACATCAAGTCTTGCCTGCTATAAAGTTTTAAACCATTTGACAGCAAAAGCAGATATTTTTCCATTTTTCTCAATTCAGTTTGTGATCTACTGATTTTAACTCTTGTAAAACTTTTCCAAATCAGGGTATGCTGTGTTTTTTTTGTTTGTTTTTTTGTCAAAGGCAGCAATAAGAATATTTTTCATTAACAATGGGAGCTATGTAATGACTTTTAAACCAGACATAATATAGGGATTGGATAGAAATGAATTAATTGACTTGAGGAACAAAAAAACAAGGACTAAACAGGACAGAAAAATTTTGCTCTCCAAACTTCAGGAGTAAAAAATATGTAATATAAACTATGTAAGATAAAATTTTATCTGCATTAGCCTGGAAAATGTACAGAACCAGGTCATATGGAACAGTTCATATTGGTATCAGTGTTTCTCAGGGTTGATGTACCCTCGTACCTGTAACAAATCTAGACTTGCATCAGTTACTGAAGACAGAGGAAGTTTGCGTGAGAAGATCAGAAGGTAGGACCCAGAATTCATTCAAGACAGACAGTGGAATACTTTAAAAGCATTTATTCAAAACAATAATCGAATGTATCTGCTGCAGTGGCTAGGGGCGTCTCAGGCAGGAAAGTCTATCGGAGAGAAACACAGGTTAGTGACTACAATAGTCTGACGGAGGATGATTATGAACATGTGAGTCACTAACCTGGTTTGAAAGTTCAGCCCGTGCCCAGAGAACGAGTATGATTCCAGCCGGTTGGCGACAAGATGCAGCGGATGCTAACAGAGAGATCCAGACGTTGTGGCCTAGAAGGCTGCAGAACTGGCAGGAGATCAAATCCAAGCAGATGACGGAAAGCAGGATAATCCAGAAGGCAAAGTCAGGAGGCAGAGCCAAGATCGTAAGCAGACAGAATACAACAGGAGTCCGAAGACAGGTCAGGCAAACAGACCAGAAAAGGGGCAGGCAGGCTCAAAGGTCCGAAGACAGAAACAGGTCAGGATCAGGCAAACATAACACTATAAGTAATGCTGGAAAACTCTCTACACCAAAGGCTCAAGAATAATCTGGCACTGATGACTGGGACCAAGCAGCTTAAATAAAGGTAGGATAAGATGAGTATTAATAAGAAACCGGATAGTGTTAGAAAGGTAAATGAAATGAGCAATTAAGCCAGCCATCAGCGCCAAGATCATGACATAAAGACTGAGCCTTGACTTGTACTGGTAGTCTGAGATTTGAGGCCTGGTTCAAGTTATCTCTTGTGATGACTAAAAATAAGGCACTATATGGGCTACAGGCTGTAGCAGCTGGAAAGGACAAGCTTGATTATTAGTCATATTAATCGTGGATTATTATAGGATGTTCGAAGCTCAGAACCATCTGTTTATGTTATATTAATGCTTTTCCATCTGAGGGAAGAATTAAATGACTTGAGATAATTCCAGAAAAAAATAAAAACAACACCTCGACATTTTCTACGTGCTGATTGAAAAAAATTCGAAATAAAATAAGTTGCTTTTTTGACAATTTAGACCTGTTAGCATTTGGTAATTTACCTCCTATACCCTTTCTTTGTCCTTATGTTATTATTTAATCCCATAAATATATTTTTATTCATATTTCGAAACATCTTTATTATAAAAAATGTAGAAGAATGTTTTTTTAACCTAGATTTGGAAACTGCTTTTTACCAAATTCTACAAAAGAAGTATTCAACAATGAAAAGCTAGCTGTTCAAAATCTTAAAAGAATGACCAAACTTGTTATGTAATGAATTTGGGGATTTAAAATAACACAAAATCCAGATCCTACAGAGTTCATTTAGATCTGCAAACTGCAATTAATATCTGTATTTCTGTTTCTCAAAGGGATGGCAGCTCTGGACAGCAAAGCTTCAGGGAAAATGGGCATGAGAGCAGTAATTTACTATATGACAACGACCATCATTGCAGTCTTTATCGGGATAATCATCGTCCTCATCATTCATCCAGGAAAAGGCTCCAAAGATGAGTTTGGGAAACAGCAGACCATCGAACAAGTCAGCCCTGCTGATGCCTTCTTGGATCTCATCAGGTGGACTTTAAAGACAATCTTCTTGAAATATAACTGTAGCCAGAATGCTTCATATCTAAATCCGTCTTTTTTATTTTATTTCCCAGAAATATGTTCCCACCAAACCTGGTCCAAGCCTGCACCCAGCAGGTCAGTCTGCCTGCGGAAAATATCTAAATAAAGATGAGGTTTCAGGCAAATCTTCCCAAACTTCCCTTTATTTCTTAATGTCGTCTTAAATAACTTTTTTTTCCAACTTTCTGGTGGTCTTTCAGAGTGTTCCTCTTGAAAATTTGGTTACCTTTGACTTTTGTTGACTCACTTTATTTCCAATAATGAACAAAAAAGTTTCCTAAACTCAAGGGATAATCCATAGTTCCTCCAATGTTAAGGTCAAGGAGAGGAAGTGCTTAAAAGACTAACACCAATTACAGCCACACCAAGCATAGCTCTCCAAAACTTAGTCCAAAACACAAAACTGGTTCTAAGAATGAAAAGGTAGAACACAGTAGTGTTTATTTTATCCTTTAAGTGTTTATGTTTGGACTTTAAGGTAGAGATAGGGGTATAGATACTAATAGGTAATAAGAATCAGGGTTTAATGACTGCCATGGAGGGTTTGGGTTGGATTCTGAGTGCTGATGATCATGTGTTAAGCAAAACCAAGTCATAAAACTTAAATAAAGTGTTGGAACTATTTTTCAGACTTCGTGTCAGTCCAAGATAGCCAGACTAATGTTATGCTACATACTATACTATGGGAAATATTGATGTATATACACTATATTGCCAAAAGTATTTGCTCACCCATCCAAATTATTGGAATCAGGTGTTCCAATCACTTCCATGGCCACAGGTGTATAAATTCAAGCACCTAGGCATGCAGACTGTTTTTACAAACATTTGTGAAAGAATGGGTCGCTCTCAGGAGCTCAGTGAATTCCAGCGTGGAACTGTGATAGGATGCCACCTGTGCAACAAATCCAGTCGTGAAATTTCCTCGCTCCTAAATATTCCACAGTCAACTGTCAGCTGTATTATAAGAAAATGGAAGTGTTTGGGAACGACAGCAACTCAGCCACGAAGTGGTAGGCCACGTAAACTGACGGAGCGGGGTCAGCGGATGCTGACGCGCATAGTGCGAAGAGGTCGCCAACTTTCTGCAGAGTCAATCACTACAGACCTCCAAACTTCATGTGGCCTTCAGATTAGCTCAAGAACAGTGCGCAGAGAGCTTCATGGAATGGGTTTCCATGGTCGAGCAGCTGCATCCAAGCCATACATCACCAAGTGCAATGCAAAGCGTCGGATGCGGTGGTGTAAAGCACGCCGCCACTGGACTCTAGAGCAGTGGAGACGCGTTCTCTGGAGTGACGAATCGCGCTTCTCCATCTGGCAATCTGATGGACGGGTCTGGGTTTGGCGGTTGCCAGGAGAACGGTACTTGTCTGACTGCATTGTGCCAAGTGTAAAGTTTGGTGGAGGGGGGATTATGGTGTGGGGTTGTTTTTCAGGAGCTGGGCTTGGCCCCTTAGTTCCAGTGAAAGGAACTCTGAATGCTTCAGCATACCAAGACATTTTGGACAATTCCATGCTCCCAACTTTGTGGGAACAGTTTGGAGCTGGCCCCTTCCTCTTCCAACATGACTGTGCACCAGTGCACAAAGCAAGGTCCATAAAGACATGGATGACAGAGTCTGGTGTGGATGAACTTGACTGGCCTGCACAGAGTCCTGACCTCAACCCGATAGAACACCTTTGGGATGAATTAGAGCGGAGACTGAGAGCCAGGCCTTCTCGTCCAACATCAGTGTGCGACCTCACAAATGCGCTTCTGGAAGAATGGTCAAAAATTCCCATAAACACACTCCTAAACCTTGTGGACAGCCTTCCCAGAAGAGTTGAAGCTGTTCTAGCTGCAAAGGGTGGACCGACGTCATATTGAACCCTATGGATTAGGAACGGGATGTCACTTAAGCTCATATGTGAGTCAAGGCAGGTGAGCAAATACTTTTGGCAATATAGTGTATATATATATGGATTTTTGGGTTCACTGCCTGTGAAGTTGCCTGTGAAACATCTTCCCACAGCCGGCAAACTGCTTGTTTTTACAGCTAAATGCTACAGATGTAGGCATTTTTAATGCGTGTCTCCGTGGGAGTACCAGCCCATGCCCATGCCCTATGCACTCCACAAAAGCTGAACACTAGCTATTCCTTTAAGGACATTTACTTGTAGGTGTTAGTCTCATGTGACCAGCATACTTGCATTTACCCCAGATGGGACTCGAACCCACAATCCCTGGCTTAGGAGGCCAGTGCCCTATCCATTAGGCCACTGGGGCACCTACCAATTAGGGTTACCAGTGGATACATTAAAGTAAACTTCATGTTCTGGAAACCAGGTAGAGAAGATCAGAGAGGTGTAGAGATGGGCCCACAGTAGCCAAAATATCACAGAGATTGTAGAAATGAGGTTTGTGAGTCATCAGAAATGGTAATGGCTTTGTTTGAGCTTGTTACCAACACGCTGAAACACTCTCAGTAGAAACCGTGGTTTGGATTTATACAGTTTATTGAACACAACAGGAGAGAAATAAGAGGTGATGTGGTGCAATGGCGGTGTCGCGGGACACAGGTTCTCTGTTAGAGAAGAGGACGGGAGCAAGGCAATGAAGGGCAGCGATGATGTCGGTCCAGAGCTTAGGACAGTGACAGATATGATGGATGACACAGGTTACGGCGATATTTCTCTTATCTGAAGGGAAAAGGAGTGGTTGGTAACCCAGGGAGATCTTAAAAGAAACATGAAAAATGTAGGCATGTTCAACCCAGGGCCGTTGTTCTTTCAGATGAGCATACCCGGTCAGACCAACATATCTATGGTCAATACCCGTTTATTCCTTTACTTTATCTCTTCAGTTTTGTATGCAAAATTAACTTTAAACTACCTCAATGGGCAGATATCCCTTTAGTAAGTTAAACTATAGCAGAGGTCAAAGATTAGTGGACTGCGGTCCAGATTCGAGCCCACCTGCTGGCTAATACGGACCCAACCTGATTTAAAACATTTATAAATTACCGCATTTTGTCCAATAACAGTGTCTAATTTCACTTGCGCCGCTTCTCCTGTTAATATGGTAAAGCCTTCCGGAGCGTCTGGCAGCAATTAGCCAAATGAGCCAATGAGCTGTCAGTCTGGGTTGCTGCTGCTGCTACTTTTAGACACGGCAGGCAAACCTGTGGCAAGCCGTTCGATGAGAAAGAAGGAGAAGACCATGAGAAAAAGAGAGCAGAGAAAGTGTGGACTGCTGGAAGAACTGTGGTGAACTAGTGAAAGAAAAGTGAAATGGCGTGCTCAAAGATGACCCTGCACATTTAGAGGATGTTTGGCTCAACCTGCTGCTGTGAAGCAGGATTCTCCACCATGAACAGAATCAAAAATAAATCTGGATCCAGGCTCAAAAGGAGCACCTTGATATGTCCTTGAGAATGGTTTTGTCTCCATTCAAACCCAGGTTTAAAGCCTTGCAGGGCAGCCTAAAGCCCACTGCTCTCTTTAAGACAGAAAAAAGAAAAAAACAAACAAAAAACAATCGATCAGTTCAGGTGTTTTATAAAATATGTGAATCAGGAAATTGTTGTCTATATACCAAACTGAACGATTGTGCTCTTCTTCAAAAAACACTTCAGATTATTTATTTTTTTTTTTATTCAATGTAAAACATAGATGCATTAAAACCATTAAAAATGTCTTCGGACCTTTACTGGTGGATGATTTTCTGTATTTGGACCCCACTGATTTTTTATTGTTTACCCCTGAACTATAGGTATGCTGGTCTGACGGGGTATGCTCATCTGACAGAACACTGCAACTGGTTCCAGTCAGGCAGATAAGAGGAGGTTAAATACAGCAGGCTAGCTTTAAGTTCTTGGTTGAGACGCACTAACTGACCATTGGATTGGGGACAATAGCCCAAATTTAAAACAGAACTTGGCAGCAAGAACAGAGCAGAAGTGTTTCCAAACACAGACAGTTCATGGTTCTGTCTGACCATGAACTAGGGCTCATGGTCAGACAGAACGTCGATGGGAATTCCATTCCAGTCGGATAAATGATGAAGAAAGATTACAAGTTGCACAGAGAACAATTTCAGGAGCACAGAAGTGGCTAAGAGTACCATGTGTGAGACTAAAGAATTACTGGAGTCCTGCTCTCTTTTTGCTACTCAGGAAATAAGGCTGATGATTAACAGCCGCGTCCTCTAAAGGATGTGCAAAAATAAAACCCACCACAGCCCCATTTCCTGACAGAAACATTTTAAGAGAAAAAAAAAACAACAGAATTAGAAGTAATGGAAGGTTTGGGTTCTCGTACCATGACCGGATATTTTCTCTCACTGTTGCATCTTCATGAAACTCCTAATAAACCTTACAATTCATTTGTTTCAACAGTTCAAAACCAGGTACGGAAAGCGAAAGGTCCATGTGACAGTCACAGTGAACGACACTTTCTTCAACTCCACAAACGGAACGCAAGAGATAATGGAAATCACCAGGGAGGAAGTGATCCCTGTACCTGGGCAGGTGAACGGGGTCAATGCCCTCGGATTGGTGGTCTTCTCCATGTGCTTTGGTTTGATAATTGGCAACATGAAGGAGCAGGGTCAGCTTCTCAGAGACTTCTTTGACAGCCTCAATGAAGCCATCATGAGCCTGGTTGCCATCATCATGTGGTAAAGCCCATTGGTTTTGTAATTAATGATTTTGAATACATGTTCTTCTACATATCTGCATTTACACACTAGTCCCCTTCTTCTTTGCAGGTATGCTCCAATCGGCATACTGTTTCTTATTGCAGGAAAGATAGTGGAGATGGACGATCTGACTCAGATGGGTGGTCAGCTGGGCATGTACACCATCACTGTCATCATTGGGTTGCTGATTCATGGCGTTCTTATTCTGCCCATGCTATACTTTGTCATCACTCGGCAGAATCCTTTTATCTTCATTGCTGGGCTCTTACAAGCACTGGTCACGGCTTTGGGAACTTCTTCCAGGTGAGAAACATACATCCCATTAGTACATAGGACATGTACAGATAAGAAATTGCCAAAAGCACAAGAGATCCATCTCTAGAAGCCTTGGTTAGTATATTACAGGTTTTGATTAATTAAAGATTATGACAGTGAACCAGTCTGGATGTAGGAATTGTTGAATTGTCTGAAAACTCTTAAATAACTACAAATAACTACAGGATTAAGGCTTGCAAAGCTGCATCTGGATGGACAAGCCTTTTGGGATAATGCACTCTTGACAAAAAATAAGAATAGCTATTTTTGACCATAATGCACAGTTTAAACACAACAACACAGCTCATACCTCATACCAACCCTCAAGATCATTAACCTTTAGATTTTAGACCATCATAAGTTGCAAAATACGACTTAAAAGTACTCACCAAGGTACTGTCTGTGTCCTGTTTTTTTCTTGGTTCTTGCACCAGTGTTCCTTAACTTCAAATTCTTCGAAAATGATTCATAATGATTGTTTATTTGCTATTTATGGTAATTGTTGGAGTGATTGTTAACCCTGGGTACCCTGGAAATTTTCCCCTGGGTAAATATATGCCTAATCACATGACAAAGTAGCTTACAATAAATAATTGAAAGAGAATTCTAATTTTATTTCCTTTAAAGAAAATGTAATGATATTTTTATAAGAGAGGAAGTATTTTCATGCAGAGGCATAAACAGGAATACAGATATTTATGGGATAAATAACTATGCCTTAAGACTAAGCAGGAGTATGTTTTCATACTTTCACCTGAAACCCTGCTGGAGCTGAACGTGAAGCTGGGTCTTCTACATCCACTTAGGGACTTAGGCTACGTTCACACTGCAGGCCTTAATGCTCAATTCTGATTCTTTTTTGGTGAAATCCGATTTTGCATTGCCATTCACATTTCCAAATACATGCGACTTGTATGTGATCTTCTGTGTGGCCTGCATTCATACAACTTAAGGGTCCCGCATGTGCAGTAGAGGACGCAATGACGTCACAAGCCAATTTGCTGTGTTTACAGAAGTAAACATGGATGGTAGTGCTAGAGCGCATCTAGTGATCTTTCTCAACCTCAGCCAGTGCATCAACAACACAATCTTTTCAAGGTGGTTGAAAATAAAGACTGCCCTCATCTGGCACTGTTGTTGTTTTTCTTGCCGCTTTTGTGTAGCAAGATGCAGAATAATGAACTATGTCTGGTATTAATGGCGTACATGTCGGATGAATGTGACCTGGCCGTTCAGACACAGGTCGAATTCGTTTCGGATTGAAGACCACATAGCAAAGTGCCCTGGGTCGCTTTTGAAAAAATCAGATCTGTGTTGTTCAGACTGCCAGGAAAAGATCAGATACAGGTCATAAATGCGCAAGAAAATTGGAATTGCATCATTTCCACCTGCCGGGTCAGCGTAGCCTTAGATCTTTTGTAGTGATGGGAGTTCCTATGAAGACCCTCTTTGACACTGTGGGCATAAGCCACCTTGTATGGTACAGATTGTTGGGGTGGCAGCTTAACTGCAGCTAAGAAAAGAAGTTGAATAAGCTTATTGGGAAGTTCAGGTCTGTTCTAGGAAAGGGTTACAGGTTAGGTGTTTCCTTTCTGCCACAGAGCTGACTTATATGAAAGAATTATTAACAGGCTTCTGTAGCACTTGGCTGTGGAGGAGCTCATGCATCACTTCAAACAGGTGTGCTGCAAAAAAAAAAAGAAAAGCAAAACATGCAGGGCAGTGGTACTTGAGGACAAGGAATGAGAACCATTTGCCTAGGATATTCCCTGGACCTGGTGCAAGTGCTGGGGGACGAAAAGTCTGTAGCAAAAAAAAAAGCTAATCTTTGGACAATGCTTCCATCCAAATGTTAGACAGTGTCTTGGGACCCAATCATTGGACTAATGCTCAACACCCTAACCCCAGACCACTAAGAGCTTTAAAAACAAAAAAATAAAATGTTTAAATCCATCCTAAAAACAACCGGGAGCCAGTGCAACAAGGCTAGAACAGGTGATATGTGGTCACGTTTACTTGTGCCAGTAAGGAGACGGGCAGCTGCATTTTGTACCAACTGCAGACGGTGTAAAAGTAAGGTTACTCTTATGAGGTTACTCATAAGACTTTCTCCACTGGTTGTGTTTTCTGTCGTTGTCTCCCAGCTCTGCAACGTTGCCCGTCACATTTAAATGTCTTGAGGAGAACAACAAGATTGATAAGCGGATCACGCGCTTTGTGCTCCCAGTCGGTGCCACCATTAACATGGATGGAACGGCTCTGTATGAGGCGCTGGCGGCCATCTTCATTGCCCAGGTCAACAACATGGAGATGAACTTTGGTCAAATCATCACCATCAGGTAAACACAGACTGAGATCCTATGATGAACAGAAATCAGACCCCTAACACTGACTTTTTTTGCATGTTTATCTCCTGAATGGGAAGCATCACAGCGACTGCAGCCAGCATCGGAGCTGCTGGTATCCCACAAGCGGGCCTGGTTACCATGGTTATCGTACTGACCTCTGTTGGACTTCCTACTGATGACATCACTCTAATCATTGCAGTTGACTGGTTCCTGTAAGTAACATTCCAGTTGGGTCCATGTCAGTGCATTAGGGCTTATTAAATAAACTAACTCAATCAATTGAGAGTCCCTTTCTGAGCGTGTTCACGTCAACAGTTCCCACTCGTCTGCTGTGACTCTACATGAACAACTGATGCCATTTTAAAGGTCAAAAGCAGCCCTGGATCCACCACCACCTAGTGACACACTTCTCCGTCCTCCCTGGAGTCTCGTGCTACATCTTCCCTGTTGTATTGAATATTTTTGCAATGAGTTTTAACTTAGAAACATAATTAGGTTTCCCAAATTAATCGTTTCAATTAGGATACCCTAACCAGAAATTACTCAGCTAACTGGGGTAATAGAAAAAAATTATAATTCTCTCCTTCAACTAGCTTGATCCACATTTGGTTGCTGTAAAATCTGTGATTCAGGAGGACTTACGGCTGAAATTAAAGACCAGGTGTTTGCAAGAGGAGTGGCTTAAGATTATGTTAATTATACTTAAATATAATATGTGGTACACAGATAAAAATCCAAACGCTGTACTAAACAGGCTGAACTTCTAACCCTGACAGATAAACACAAAAGATCATTTTAAACAAATTTTTTAAACCCGATACCTGGCTGTGAATAACAGTCGATACCGACACCATACCGATACCATCTGTTTGAAATTGATGTGTGTGTATATATGAAGAACTGCATACTACTTGGATGTAAAATAATTGCCATCATGTTTTTGTCAAGCTGCTGCCTACCTTTGTCAAGCAGGAAAAAGACTAATACAAAGTGAATCCAGTAGAACTTTTTATTGCCTACCTGGAATGGGGGACAATAGATGAAGAAACTTTTGGCAAAACACTGAAGAGATCCTGTAGCTTTTTTCTGTCATGATTAATTTAGGAATCTGACCCAAGATACAGAGAACCACTCAGAGAGCAAGAAAAAGATTTAACAGGTTTATTGAGGTAAGGGTAGAAGGGGAGTCTGGAATTCAGGGGGCTGGTGAACAAGCACTAGGAAGTCTGGAGGGGATATCAAAACGGTTAGTTCAGGGACTTTGGGAATCTTGAATGCCGTAAGGAAAATGCTAGTGAGGGACTCACGTTTGGGCGGGGTTCATCTCTCATTTTGCATCCAGTCTGTGTGGGTTGATCCAGAGAAGATGGGACATGTTGAAGAGTGGACAGGTAGACATTCTTCGGACCCGGGGGAGCACTGGAGCGGACTGTCACTCGGATTTCCGTGAGAGACTTGAACAGCACATGTGGAGGTTTCTCCCCTGCTCAGTGTGAACTCAGTAAACAATCCTTCCAATGGAATAAGGCCAAACATCCAGTATGCAGGACAACTTCCTGCCAAAAGGCAAAGACAAAAACAAGGTTAGACTCAGAGAAACAAAAACTAAGCTAGGCTCAGTGAAACAAAGACTCAGGCCCCGTCCACACGAAGTCAAAACGAACACGAAACGCTAATATTTTCCAGAACGTTTGTTGTAAAGACGGAGACGTAAAATAAATGTGATCGTCCACACGAATGCATGAAAACGCTGCAAAATGTATGCCAGGCCTGTAAGTGGCGCTGTGGTGCCAAAGCAAAAATAGGCGACGAAATGTTGGGCATGCGCACTAATATTTATACATGGTTGCCCTGCGGGTCCATTTTCGTGGTTCAGTCAAATTCAGGTGCTGAACTATGTCGTCTATATTGCTCTGTTCTTCCTGGAGATATTCCAGAAGAAGAAGATTCTGTTGTAAGCCCGACAGCAGGGTGAGTAGCATGAGCAGCAACCATTCAACACAGTACGGCGCCATTGTTGTTGTGATACTGTGTCGTGCATGCGTGTTTAGAGGCGACGCTATGACACATGCGTGTAAAAAAAAAAAATGCATTTAGAGCTTAAAGATGGAAACGCGAAAACGGCGTTTCAAAATCTTCCCACTCTGAAGGCTGAATAAAAAAAAGATTGCTTACAGACCCCCGAAACGCCGGCTTCGTACGGATGAGAGGCTGGTTTGGTGAAAAATTTGTGCGTTTAGGCCAGGGTTCGGCTTCGTGTGGACGGGGCCTCAGACTCAAACTGGCAAACACTCTGACATCAAGGTAGTGACAGTCCACTGCTTAAGTACTCCTCCAGATAATGATCCAAAGAGCCGCAGGTGTGCAGGGAGGACCCACAATAACAGGGCGCCACCTGGTGGTGGAGGGAGAGACAGACACAAAACAGACCACACAAACTAGATTCCTGATAATTTCTCTGTTTTGATTAGAAATTAAGGATTCAGGTTTATCTAAGAATATATAAGTTCTGATAAAGGCTAATGGTATTCAAGCAAATAAACCACAATAAGAAAAAATCTAATCACTGCTTATTTCATTCCATAGGTCATAAATTTGAATTAGTCATTGTCTTTTCATTTTAGCGATATGCAAAATTTAATTAGCCGTTACTATAAACTGGAATATTTATTATTATTTGTTTCATTGTTGGAAGCTTTTAATTGTTAGAATTTTAACTAGTGTTATGAAAAATAAAGTTTATCTCTTTTTTTTTTTTATGAAGGCCATTCAGGGCTGCACAGTGGAGCAGGGATTAGCGCTGCTGCCTTGCAGGAAGAAGGTTCTGGGTTTGATTCCATGCAAACTCTTTCTGCATGGAGTTCGCATGTTATCCCTATGCATGCGTGGGTTCTCTCCGGGCACTCCATCTTCCTCACACAGTCCAAAAACATGACTGTTAAGTTAATTGCCTCCTTAGGTGTGTGTGTGAATGGTTATTTGTCTCTGTGTTGCCCTGCGATAGATGTGTATGCCCAGCTGGAGAGAGACACCAGCATCCCTTGTGACCTAAGCAAGGATAAGGGCGTCAGAAAATGGGTGGATGAAATCCATTCACACCCCACAAAAACAGATAAATTATTTTCTAACAAAGAATCTTTTTGCTTGAACAGAAATTTAGTCCAGACTCCTCTTGGGTCAATGTAGGTCTCTTTTACTTTAGAGCACCAGTCATATTTCTGAGACGGCTGACAAAAACCACCAAGAAAGAGCTGAAGAACTCAGTAATGACATCTTGTTCCTGAGGTCTGGAGAGGAAAAACATTTTTATATTTTCCTGTGAAATATGAATTGGCCTTAAGAATAACGTTTTACTTAATTTATTTTCCAGTTCGAATCAAAGATATCAACATAAAGATCCCTGAAGCGAGTAATCATCATCATTATTATCTTTAGTCAGGGACACAGCTGGTCCCAGCAGATCTACGTGTTTATTTCTGTCAATTGAAATGATCTAACCACAATTATTCTATCATTTTAATTTCACCCGTGCTACGATAAGATTATCCACAATGTTATCTAAATCGGAAAAAAAACAATTATAGAACCCACAAGCAATTTATCAATAAGCAGAAATTATTTTTAAGGAGATACAAAGTGATTATATGCAACCTAAACTTTTTTACTCCTTTGTGTAAACAGACATTTTACGGAAGAGGATTAGGGACAACCTAACTGATTTTTACATTTTATTTCAGTTTAGTGTGGGGAAAAAAAATCAGAATTCTGACTTTAATCTCAGAATTCTGACAGCTAACAAACATGTTAGCATCAAGCCATAGCCATGTCTGTTTTAGAGGCTAGCTCTCTTGTTTTAATGACCTTCTGCTCCTCCATTAATGAGGAGTTGCCTAATTCCGTCATTTTCCACCAATGTGTCACTGGCCACCTCAAAGATCTCACATCTTTGTCAGTGAAGCTGGGTGCTCCACATCTCTTCCTTCAAGGTGCCCATCTACATTAAGATCCAAAATTCTGAGAATAAAGTCAGAATTCTGAGAAAAAAGTCAGAATTGAGAAAAAAGTCAGAATTCTGAGATTAAAGTCAGAATTCTGAGAAAAAAGTCAGAATTCTGAGATTAAAGTCTGAATTCTGAGAAAAAAGTCAGAATTCGGAGATTAAAGTCAGAATTCTGAGAAAAAAGTCAGAATTGAGAAAAAAGTCAGAATTCTGAGATTAAAGTCGGAATTCTGAGAAAAAAGTCAGAAATGAGAAAAAAGTCAGAATTCTGAGATTAAAGTCAGAATTCTGAGAAAAAAGTCAGAATTCTGAGAAAAAAGTCAGAATTGAGAAAAAAGTCAGAATTCTGAGATTAAAGTCGGAATTCTGAGAAAAAAGTCAGAATTGAGAAAAAAGTCAGAATTCTGAGATTAAAGTCGGAATTCTGAGAAAAAAGTCAGAATAGGGGGTTTTCAGTGACGTCACTGGCCAGCTTCCGGTCCGCCATCTTGGGTGGCATATTATCGTATATCATATATATCATGTCGCGAATGGATAAGTACGCCAGCACGCTAGAGCCACTAGATCATGGAACATATCTGAGGAAATGTTCCGTGATCGACCATATGGACCCCTATGCCCTCCACGGTGCCTTGTTTAGCACTAATCCAGATGATTGGCCAAATATAGAGCATGGCGACATAGTTCATTACCCGGTGTTCAGTGAAAACCCTCTGCACACTCTTGAGGAAATGAGAGCGTACAAGGGTCTAGAGGCTAACAACCAGTTCACATCTGGTTGGGTACGAGATGTCGAAGTGATGTACATGGAGGAAATCGCCATCATACGTGGACGGGTGAGTTTTAATAAGATGGTAAAAATGTAAACAATCCGACGCAGGGCTCGCTATGCTAGGTGGCTAACGGCCGGCGGTGCGCGAACAGTTCCAAAGCTACAAGTCCTTGGAGTCTCGTGCAGTTTACGAATGGATGGGTTCAGGAGCTGCAGCTCATAAAGCCAGCAAACAGTGCTAACCGTTAGTGCTAACAACCACTCAGGCATGTAATGTACTTTTAACTAGCTGCTATGTGTTTCAAAGGTTTGGTTAGTAACGTTAACTGCCAAACCTTCCTAAACCCTCCGGGTTTCTCACATATTTGAGCCTTTTCCCGCTGGTTGAAATCAAGTTAAGGTGAAATTAATCAAATTAAAACACGGCTGAGAGAGGGAGTCCAGTACGCGGTAGTCATAGGCAGTAGTCTGAGTAGCGGCAGCGGAGACGGTCAACATTGCGGCCACGGAAAGTAATACGTCATGACGCCCAAGCCCTATTATTAATATATTCTTACATGTTTTAAATGCTTGACAGTTAATTACCTGTGACAAAGTGAGCACTGCAGACTCTGGCGTATTCCAGCTTAACACCGTCCAAATCGGACCTGGATATCCGTGTCAGCCATAGGTGACGGCGTTGTTCAGATAGCTGTTTTGTTTTTTTCACATTGATTCACGATTACGGCTGGTATGCGATAGAAAGAGCGTTGATCTCCACCTCCACGGGCCGTGCAACCAACAATTACACACGATTTCACCATTTTTCACTGTCAATATTGCCTAAGGCTGCCACCCAATATGGCGGACGCGCTGAGTAGTCACGTGAGTGTGACGTCACCTGAAAACCCCCTATTGTGAAAAAAGTCACGATTCTGTGAAAAAAGTCAGAATTGAGAAAAAAGTCAGAATTCTGAGATTAAAGTCAGAATTCTGACTTTTTTTTCCCATGTTAAACTGAAATAAAATTAAAAAATCAGTTAACTTTTTTTTTTTCAGTGGCCCTAATTCTCTTCCGTACATTTTTTTCAGGTTTATAGGAGTTTTTAAACTAAATCTATGACTCTGATCTTCATGTCTTTAAATCTGTTCATAATTTAGTAACAAATCCTGGAGCCTCGAAAGGCTTTAAAAGAAAGATAAAGGAAGCTGTCACAACAAGCAGAGCAAGATTGAGTTCTTTAGAAAAGCTTGTTGCATTTTTCAGTTTAGATGTTTCTCTCAAATTCAGGGATCGTCTTCGCACCACCACCAACGTTCTGGGAGACTCTATCGGAGCTGGAATCGTGGAGTTCCTGTCCCGACATGAGCTCCGCAGCAAGGATGTGGAGATGGGGAACTCTGTGTTGGAGGAGAGGGAGAGGAAGAAACCTTACAAGCTCATCTCACAGGACAGTGATCTAGAAAATGACAAACGCACTCACAGTGAATCCAACATGTAGCTTCTGCCTTCATCTGAACCGAAAACTCACAGCTGGTTCTGGTAACTGCAGTAGGGACCTAAATTTCTAAATCATTAATTTTCCCATTTATCAACATATTTTTTTCTCATTCAAGATTATAAATATAATCCAAGGTTCCTTTTTTTTTTCTCCTATTCGAAGTGGAACCTGTAGATTCAGCTTACTTCTGTCTAATGGTGAATTCATTCATTCAGGCTAACTGGAATTTATGTTGCAGTAAGTGTAAATTGTTGAATAACAGGTAAAACCGTTTAATGCAGAAGTTAAAAAATATGGATTTAAAGCAATAAAATGAGAAATAACTATGATTATCGCTTCAAAATGCCTTTCATTTTGACCATGAATTGTAACGTTGATATTCAGGATCTGGGTCTAAACATCTTGGACATTTTTAAAAGTGTTAATTTAAAAATGTTTGGGTTTTATAGACTTTTTACACACCAACATACCAGTGCTTTTAGTTAGTTTTTTCTGCTGAGTGTGTCGCTGAATGTGTAAAAGCTGATTAGCCCCTTTGTGAAAATATTTGTCATACTTTGTTAATTCTAAAAATAAATCAAATAAAATAAACTCTCTCCGTTCCGTTATTTTGTCATCATTTATTTCTGGTGGCGATTCATTAATCATCTGATGAGTCATTTATGTTTTTTCTCTATTCAGGATACAGCACAGCAATGCTTCACAACTTGCATGCAGACTTTTTATGGCTGACGGCCTTCCTGACAATTATTCAAATCTTGGTATTAAAGGTATTAAAGTCTGTTAATATTCAGAATTCAAACTTCTGAAATTACTCTGAATATAAAAATATTCCATCCTGTTCAATAAATGATCAGTGTTTTTAATTAAGAGTAATTTTCATGTGAATGTGCTTTACTGGAGGCATCCATGTCTGTCAAAGAACACTACTACCACCTACTGGTTTGTGACGTCACGGTATCGGCTGTTGATCAAGTCCCAGTGCTGTATCTGGTGTTTGTCACAACGCGCTATTATCCAAGTCATCTTGAAAACATTCTTCTGTTGGCTACATATTACGTGTTTTTTCTCTGAACAGAAGTTCGATGGCAAATCCTCCCTCTTCCAGTTGGCAATCCAACGATGAACCCGTTTTAACTCTTTTTTTCCACTTTTCCCCGATGTATTCCAGCATCCAGCTGCCATGCACGTGGGCATTGTCAGTTTCACTATAGCTCTGGTGAATTTCAATGGTGAAGTCCTCTAGAAATCTTCAATAATTGTTGTTGATTGCAGATGTGTCTAGTAGTTCCCATTGATTTTGCTTGTAAAGCAGGGAGAATGGCGCTAGGCTTACCGCACCGTGACGTCACTGCTGGAAGATGGCAGGAGGGAGGGGTTACTATATTTGGGCAAAAAAAGACCGCCCCCAGACTCAGTGATCGCAATAAAATTATTTTTTTTTATTTTTTATTGACTTTTTTACACCCCTTTGGAATGGGGGTTGTTTGGCTTCTTTTGTTAGCCTGTAATACCGATACCTGTCTATGTCTCTGAAAGGGGGGTTGTTAAAGGGAATGGTTGGCCTGGCTGAACAGGTGGGTTCTTCTGTTCCCTGTTACGGGGTGGGGGTTGTAATGATAGCGGGAAGGAATCAACTCAATTGCTGCATTGTCTGTTTAAAGTTGGTTGGTTTTTCTTTCTTAACATTCCTTTGTTGGTCCACTCTAGAAAGCTTTAAACTCAACGCTATTTCTGACATTTTGACTTGAAAAAGCTTCCTGGATGGGAAGCAAAACGTCTTCAAACGTGCACTGCAAAAAATCTAAATCTTGATAAGTCATTTTTTCTTAAAATAAGTGCACCTGTTCCTGAATCGAGCAGATAAAAGAGACATCCCGCCAATGGAACAAGACAATCTAGATTCAAAATAAGAAAACACAATTGCATTCTCTTATTTCAAGTGAATACTATCTAATTATCTTATTTTAAGAGTAAAAATACTGACTCCATTGGCAAACTATCTCATCTCCCTACTCAAATCAAGGGCAAATACATCCAATCCAAGAAATTTTTACTTATTTCTAGATCGTTTTTCCAGTGTGGAAACTAAGTCCAGTGGATTGTTTTTTTACTTTTTGGAATGACTATGACCTGGATGACTGGGAATCTTTATAAGTATATAAGAAGAACTGTGCCACCCCCACATCCCCCTTTTCTTTTTTGTCTGTTCTATGCAAACTTGAAAAATACTAAATAACAAGTAAAAAAAAAAAAAAAAACTCAGCAGAGCAGGAGGCACACGGAAAAACAGCTAGAACCTGTCAGGTATGCTTATCAGTCACTCAGGAAACTGCTAACTTTTTCAAACGGACGTCAGCAGGTGGAGGGTGCGTCGCTGGAGGATTGGCTCTTCCGGATCTTTCTGGACCAGACAGCATTCAGCAGAAGTAGCAAGCTCCATCGGGTCATACCTGAATCTAAGGTTGTCCAGCTGTGTTTTACTCATAAATCATTTATCTTCAGTAAAATATGGAATAAAAGGCAACCAAATAAAAAGAGACAATCTTGGTAAAATTGAACAAATGATGTTAGTTAGATCCAGTAGATTGTCATATACGGTACAGTAATGTAACGCTTGTTAAAGTCATCTTTGTGCAGGATTTTGTCCCAAACATTTTAAAGCACTTTAACCAAATATTCTTGGCTCTGAATGTGTCACAGTGCAGCTCTGAGGCTCCATGCTGGATCTGTAGACCACTGATGTTTCTTTCCTCCAGGCTTTCCTCCCACGGTCCAAAGGTCAGGTTTAATGGGTCCACTGGTCACAGGGCTGCATTTGGAAAAGTTGAAAATAACTGACTCTCCAATCTGGTAATAGTGACATCCATGATACTAGCTGCTACGCTCCCCCTGTGTGTTTAATTAGATTTTATGAGGACGAGTATTGCAAGGAAGGGCATTAGAGTGTTAAAGATAGACAGGCTCTGTGTATGCACCTTCACGCTCCATCTCTCCGGTTCCTTTTCCTGAAAAGAGATCGCTCAGGACAAACTCTTTAAATAACTATATGTATTAAATAACCAGAAGACATGAAAACAGATTCTGATAGAAGTTGTAATCTTACTCAGATCAGAGAAGTTGTTTAGAATGTACAGAAGGCAGCTGCTCACCTCTCAGGAAGTGGCCCAGATTAACAGCTAAAAAGGTATTTTATACATCTCCAGTCTGACACTGTCATGATTTTACAAAGTTCAGACCCAAATGCAGAAAAAACAAAACAGAAAGACCAGGGAAAAGGTTTAACAGGTTTTATTGAAGAGGTTAAACAGAGGGAGATGTGTTGCTCAGAACACTGCTCAACCGGAACTGAAAGGTGAGGGGAAGACACAGCGGTTAGTTCAGGCTCAGTGGGGAATTTGACTCATGAACTTGGAGGACAGGATTTGGTTGCCGACTCACGTTTCCAGAGAAGCTGTTGAATCTTTGGCTTGTTTGTCTGATTCGGTGGAGGGAGGAACAGGGTTTACCCAGCATGCGGTTGTTAGTTGGGGAACGGAAAACTGACTGCCACTCAGATTTCCTGCGGTACTTGAATGGGTCGTAGTGGAGAGTAATCCCTTTCTCAGTGCGAAGCTCAAACAATCTCTTGGGGAAAGTGGATCCAAACCTCCTGTTCGAACCCCAGCTCAGTTGATCCTTCCAGGGAGAGAAGGTCCAAGAAAACCAGTTAGCAGGATGACTTCCTGCCGAGAGGCAAAGACAAAAAAAAAAGTTTAACTCAGGTTGACAAAAACTCAGTTTGACTCAGCAAAACTCAGCTTGGCTAGAGTACCCAAAACTGGCAAACACTCTGGCGTCGAGGTAGTGGCAGTCAGCAGCTTAAGAACACTCCGTTTAAGAGGAAACCATCAGCAGGTGTGTGAGGAGGCGGACCAGAACCAGGCGCCTCCTGGTGGATGAAGGGAGACAAACACAGAAACACAAATACAAAGACAGGAGTCCTGACAGACACATCATCATATTTTACATCATACACATCAGCAGATGATTAGACATCCATGGCTCCAGCCTTATCAAAATATTACACTTCATTCTTAGCTGAAGGAAGCCGCTCTCATTCCATTCCCAAATCTTTGCCACGTACAGAATGAAGATTATAACTGTATATCCGGACAGAGGAGCTGTCTTAATTAGATAAACTACCGGGGAAAACATCAGTTCTGACAGGCAACAGGCAGCTAACATTAAGGTGTAATAAACTCACCCATCATCAATGATAATTATCCTAACAAGAGTGAGAAGTAAAATCATTCATGGTTTTTACCATTTTACAGATAATCTGTAAAGTGTGCCGTGGAGTTATATTTAAGCTGTCTGAATGTGTGCATTATAGAACCACCTGTGGTTTCAGGCCAAGCTGCAGGTCATTGTGGTTACTACCAGTTTAGCACGTCTACTGACTGAAACCTTTTATTGTTCTTCTCTGCTCAAACTCGGCCAGTGTTAGACTTTGAATATTACACCGTGGCAGATTCTCAGTCATTGAAGACATTAGAATCCTGAATGTTTTAGTGAAACGCAACTGGGCATTTTTTTTGCTTTAAGGAGTTTAACTTCTCATCAAAAAAGGATCTTAAGCTCTGAATGTGGTTTGAAGTTGTATAAGTCACTGGGTCATAGTAGAAAACCCAAGCTTGGCAGCGTGGTATCTGCAGCTCAGCGCAGCAGGAAAATCCAGAATTCTACACTGAAAAAACGATCTAGAAATAAGTAAAAATGTCTTAAATTAAGTGTATTTATCCTTAATGTGAGTAGGTAACAGATATTTTGCCGATTGAAGTACAATTTTTACTCTTAAAATAAGATATGTATTTAAAAAACGGACAAATGTGCTTTCTTATTTTTTTATTAAAGCACTACTGGATGTTTTTTGGACAGTAGGCTGACAGGAAAGGGGGAGAAACATGCAGCAAAGAACCACAGATCAGATTCAAACCTGGGTCGGCTGCTTCGAGGATTAAAGCCTCCATATATGGGTCCTGTGCGCAAACCACTTCGCCACCAAAGAATGCCCATGTTTTCTTATTTTAAGTGTAAATATCTTGTTCCAAAATGTCTATTTTACCTCCGCAATCCAAGAGCAAATGCACTTATTTTAAGAATAAATTACTTACGGGTATCTAGATTTAGATTTTTTTCCAGAGTACATTCAGTTTTTAGAACAAGAAATTCAAGATAACAATGCTTGTTTAATTACATTTGTATATGTAATTATATAAAGTGAGCTCTACAAAGGATAAAAACTTTGCTGTCACTGCACTGGCCCCGTTGGTGATCCTAAAAGACATGTCTTATCTTTAATGCACAGAACTTTGCTTCCACTTTGTCTGTAAAGCGCTTTATAAATAAAGTTGATGATAATGATGATTGCCCTTATGGCCCCTTAAATGAAATAATGAACCCATTAATGACTTTAACAACCCATTAGTGACCTTAATAGCCTATTAATTACTGTAATAAGTCTTTTTTTACATAAATGGACAAAACAATGCCACTAATTAAACTATTACTAACAGTGATGGTCCCATTAGTGACCTTACAGTAATAATAGT